GTTCATACTACTGAAGCTAGAGTAACAGAGCTGTACTCTTAATATTCATGTACATTTCTGTATATACCCTGTCCATAGTTTGTATTCAATACAAATATTTGCTTCTTGTAAAAAAAATAGTGTTTTGTGTTGAAAAACAAAGAGGAAAAAACAAAAAACAAAAAAAGTAGTGTATGGAGTCGAACGTTGGCAGTGTAACCGCGGTTACTGCGGTTACCGTGAGAATTTCAACCGCGGATAACCTATCCGCGGTTGCGGATTGCGGTTTTTGGTGACGGTTTCCACTGCAGTCCCTAGCACAGGCTAGGGACTGGTGCGGATGGGTCTATCCGCGAAACCGCACCGCGGATAAGCATTTCCACGGATAACTTATCCGCGGATGAAATTCCCACGGATACCGCAGTTTCTGCGTATCCACAAAAAACAGCCGGAAATTTGCGGGACTAACTTAGACAAGTAGAAATCAACTGTTGTTTCTTATGCAATCGCTCGTGATACATCACAACTGTGACTAATGTCACACTTAGGTAATTAAAACAACGTGAATTTTTTTATCGGCTAGGCTAAGCACTCAAGTGACTCAACCGCGGATACTGCGGTAACCGTGGGAAAATTCATCCGCGGATAGGTGGTGCGGATAACGGTGGCGGATGTCGCGCCAGTCCCTAGCACAGGCTCGGCCGGGTCATCTAGAGGCAAATGTACCCTTCAACGTTTCCTTTCGATGAATTTTAATGCATTTGCGGTACTATGTAAGTAAATTTGAGAGAAATGTTTCAGAAAGTGGCAGTCTTTCTTCTCTGTTCGGTCCGGACTTCCTCAATTTGTACAGACTTCTACGATCAGTCGTCGAGTCGATGAACGAAACGTACAAAATCATAAATTTGGTCAAGTGGAAAACAACCACTACATCGAGACTCTATGAAAAACCAAAAGAACGAAATCAAGATATCCACATGAAGTAAATGTTGCAGAATGAGGATGAATGTCCCGAAGCTGGTGTAGTCCATGACAAATCAACAAGAAAGTAAAACCACCACTAACTAGGTCAAACAAGGTTGACAACCGGACCATTGTCTCATCAGTCGCCGATGAAACTCTTTGCAACGCGAAATTGTTTATCCATCCGTTCGATCTTCAGTATTCCAACACGTGAAATACCATGTGAGTGTGCGTCAATCCGGTCATTGTCGACCCCATTTGACAATACCATACTAGAGGCGTCCGATTCATAAGACCAAGGTGATGCCTTTCTTGTTGTCGCTTCCGTATGAATAGGAGGCGATTTTTCCGTAGCTAATGCAGTATAAACTTTAGGTACATTAATGGATGTGGCGAGCGTTGAGATGGATGTGGCGTCTTGTCCCCTCTGTCGTTGCTCCGCGTAGAAATTGAAAGAAGGTGGGATCTCCGAAACTCGCGGACGCCTTCTCAACGCCTATCCTCCGAAAGCATATAACTGAACGTTATACTCGAATGTTGAGATGCCTCGGAAATTACACACCTCGCCACCAGGAATTATGATTCTGAGAGTCTTCTTTAAATTGCTTCGCTCCGTAAGGAGAGCTTCCTGTTTCTCCTTCAAGGTACCTTCAAGGGTACTGCAAGCGCCAGACGGGAAGAGTGTCCGTCGAATGCGGAACATTGGCAAGCTCGGACTCGTTGCCCCTCCTAGTGCCTCGCGAATTTCGGCCTTCTCGTCAAAGACCTGTAGTTCAACCTTCTCAGGTCCGCGCTCCACCTTCCTCTTTCGCGCATTGTGAGTAGATGCGACTACTCTGCCTGTGAGAGTCACGAATGCGAGCACAAGGAAGTATATCAGCGACCCCATCCTTCCCGACTTGGACAATCTTTGCGACTGGAAAGACAACAATAATTGATTTTGCACGATTTTTGACGGCAGAAGGCAGGAATGAGGTTCGTATGCGTCTGCCAGAGCAGGTACTTGGACAGTTCAAAGGGCGGCTGGAGCAATGCGAGCGTACATATACGAGTATGTAGGTTGCATTGAGCGGCGGGATACGGCATGATACGCAAAGGGATCAGGTTGTACAGTAAGAATTCAATTGCAAAGCGAGCTGCAATAACAGAGGTGAGGGTGCATGAAGGTGTACGATGGAAGACATTGCAAGTTCGGTGTGTTGTTTTGCGCTCGAACCGAGCTCATAATAGTTCTACCTCTTTGCGTTGCCAAGCCTTCACCCCCTCCCGCGCCTCGTCATCTTCCAACAGCACCTGCAGTGGTGCAAGGCAACCTCGACGTTATGGGCCAGTAGTGCCAGAGCCAGATGATTTTTCAGCCCTCAGTGCTGTTTCCTTAAAATCTTACAGCATGGAGATTGTGTAGTTGCAGGTGAATTAAGCCGCGCAATTGGTTGTAATTGTCGCAAAGTTGACAAATCCGACGTCAGTTGATATATTCTCCGTTCCTGAACCAGCTAAAAAGATGTCCCATGCAAGGTTTGGTAAAGTTCACACAATAATCGCCCCGGAGATATCAGCGAACCACGCGTATTGATCCTTTGGTGAAGCCCAATCTAAGGTATGTCCTGGATGTATCAATCAGCTTCATTAGTTCCACTGTTCATGACTGAACACATACCACCAAAGAAAGTCTCAAAGTGCATCCCCTGAATAGCTGATTCTTCAGTCGTCCTAAGGATCAAACCGGTTGCGAGTATGGAGGAATTTCCATTTATACGAATCTCAATCTCGCCTGAGTCATGGACGAATTTCATCAATTACAAAACGCAAACTAAATTGGGGGCCTCAGACTGACCGTTCGCAACACCAATGTCGTTTAGCTTTACACGCTCCGTTATTGTAGTCCAATTCCCTGCTTTGAATGTAAAAGCGCCCCTCCCGACGGAGAAGCCATAGTCAGGATTCCGAAACGACTTGGGAGGGATCTCTAGAAGCCGAGAAGTATTTTCGTCGTATAACGGTAGGTAAGCATAGAGTTCTCCGGCAGCTTCACCTCTGTCAAAAAATAATGGACATGTCAGATCTAATTATGGGTCAGTTGCACTTTCTAATCTAACCTCCACATGAGTCGTAAATTGAAGCAAGAATCACGGCCTTCTTTCCGACCTCCAGTGCAAGAATATGCACTTCGTCCTTCACCTCCAACTGATATTACTCAGTATTAATAATTTAAAAACTGAAAATTGATGCAACTGACATGCGCCGGGTAATTTGCCGCCTTTTACCCATTCCCAGTCTTCCTGAAACAGTACCGAATACCCAAAAATCACTTCCTTTGCCTCAGGAAGCCTATCCTTAAAGTCACTCGGTCCACTGAGATAAAAACCAAAGCCTCCAGGTATTGCCCCCTTTGGGTTGATACTGCCCTCAGGATATACGGCTCTCCAGGCTTTCTGCGGTCTGTCTGTAGAGACATTCGGGGCTGACACGACTTCGCATGGAGGGGTCCTTGTACTTATCCGATGTACCCCTAATTCTTCATTCGACAAGTCGATGTGTTTAACGGAAGGCTTGTTAACGAGAGAAGATGTAGTCCATGCTGATGTGTACGTAAAGTTTGTAGGAAATAGCCAGTCATCCATGACAGATTCTGGAGAGTCAAGATCGCCTGGACTAGTTTGAAAAGGAGTTTGAGATGGAAAAAAGAAATCAAACAAGAGAAGATGAAAGAGCGTGAGTAATAGTTCCATGTACTTGTAGTGTGTAGGCGGAAAAGGAACCAAGACCTAGGGTTGGGCAATCCTTGCAAGCATCATTGAGCTCCTTTCAGGTTGCCAGCATCACAGAATCATGTCAGGAATGAGTCCGAAAGGATCGACGTAACATCACGTGCTGAAACGCACGTGTGTCCCTCATGCAGCGAACAGTCGCCACAGCTTGAACTCGCCGTCGTTCATATAAAATAAATATGATTGCAACCTCTCCTCTTACCCATACTCAACCCACCTCCACTCGTTCTTTGGTGCTAGTGCTATACTAACATCTCTATACTGAGAAGAAACTCGTAGAACTTTCGGATTGTATCATTGTAAGTTATGCTATCAAGTTCAATGCATACATTCATTCCTTCTTAGTCAACCATGATCTTAGATACCAGTGTATGTGTTCAACCAGGGGTTCCAATGCATGAGCGTCATTGTCTCATCGAGAAAGAGCCGAGGCTTGGAAGCTCGCACACGTTGCTCCCAACTCCGCTAATGCCGCAGTGGCAACAGTTGTTCCCAGGGCATATTATTCGTGATTCTTTTCGGAACATATTCTCCCGAAATCTGTATAAAAGATTAAGATCGGAAGATGATGAATTATTGCCTGTTGGATCCCCTTCTCTAGCAAAAACACCTACTAGAAGGTCCACTTGTAGGATCACGGTTTGGATTCTAGTCATGGGTAGTCTCAGTGTCTTTCTATTGGCTCTCTATAGTCTTGCCAGCATTCCAGGAGCTATGCCCACTGAAACGGCACCAATTACACCTCCGCTTGACATTCCGGAGAACATTCAACATTCTTGGGGTGCATACACACCGTACTTCTCTACTGCTGAATACAAAGCACCACCAAAACACTGTAGAATAACCCAAGTCAACATTGTACCGCTCCCTTATTTTCTAGGCTAGCTGTGTAAAATTCTGATAGATCGGCATCTCAGATTCAAAGGCATGGCGCACGCTTTCCCACATCGGGTTCTACCGAGAGGATACTATCCGCGCTGAAGAAGATTCAATCCTCGCCGTCGTTCAAAGACCAAAGGCTTGAGTTTCTCCGAAACTATACATACGATTTAGGCTCAGACAACCTGGTCCCGTTCGGCGCAGCTCAGTAGGTGCCCTGCACATTGGATTGTTAGTGGGTCTAATATATATTCAGATCATTTGATTCTGGGCAGATGGATTACGTACGATACAAGGACCTTGTTAATTCTAGTGTTCCATTTGTTAGAGCATCTGGTTCGACTAGAGTGGTCGACTCCTCAACGAATTGGACAACAGGTGCGTTTTTGTCTCGTTGCCCAACTGCCCATCAATTTGATAGATTATCAATATTGGACAGGGTTCGCTCATGCCAGTGGAGGAACCATAACTCCTTCATTAGATTTAATCCTTCCAGAATCGGTGTGTTATGTTATGTTATATTTTCATTTTCCTAACAAACGGTGTCCTAGCTTAACGACACGCTTGACGATAGCATGTGTCCGAATGCTGGAAGCTCGGATAATCAGACAAATATATGGCAGGCAATCTACGCTACCTCAATCGCAGCTCGTTTGAACGATGCTGCACCTGGAGCAAACCTGACAGATGCAGATGCTTCAAACCTGATATCGCTCTGCGCCTTTGATACTGTCGCCAATGAGAGGCCTAGTCCGTTCTGCAATCTCTTCGACCAGACGGATTTTGATGGATTCGAATACCTTAGCGATTTAGACAAATTCTATGGGACAGGGTAAGTATCCCCCCACGCATCAGGCTTCACAGGCAATTTACGCATTTTCCTTTATGTAGGTACGGACAAGATCTCGGTCCAGTGCAAGGAGTTGGATACATAAATGAGCTCATTGCTCGTCTAATGGAATCCCCTGTGCGCGACAACACTCAAACGAATCGTACACTAGATTCCGACCCTTCCACATTCCCTTTGAACCGTACGATGTACGCCGACTTCTCGCATGACAACGAAATGATTGCCATATACAGTGCTCTTGGGTTGTTTCGCCAGAAGTCTAACCTCGATCCAACGCAGCCCAATCCTCAGCGCACGTGGATAACTTCCCAACTCACACCATTCTCTGCGCGCCTAGTCACTGAACGTCTGGATTGCTCCGGAGAGGTATCTGTTCGTATGCTTGTTAACGATGCATTACAAACCTTGGAGTTTTGTGGTGCTGACAGTGACGGAGTCTGTACTTTAGCTGCATTTGTCACCAGCCAAGGATACGCTAGAAGTGATGGAGGGGGAGACTTCGAAAGATGTTTCACATAGTATATACGGTCATTGAATGCTTAGGCATTCAAACGATCCCCGGGGTTGAATTATTCAGGACCTTCGGAATTCGCGATCAATTTTGACTGAGTAGCGGGATTTTTCGAATCAGTGAACATCAAACCAAGGCGATTGAAATGTCTACGGAGAGAAGATCCCGTACTGAAGCGTCCTCTTGTCCTAGAAAGAGGAGCAATGGGGAAAACTAGGCTTGGGCAGCGCCTCCATCATGATCCGTCATCCTTACAGACTTGCTAGCGAAATACAAATCGGATTCTGTTCCATATTTCATTGGACTCATCATGCCTGGGAGAACTACAGTAATTGCATTTCTTCGTTGGTGACTGAGGCATGTTGCGAGCACATCATAAGGTCAGCCATTGGGAAAACTGATCCTAGTGGCAAATTGTTGGCATTGTTGGCTAAAGCATTCTGAATTGATACTGAATGGTCATAATGCTGAATACAGAAGAAACATATGAGCGGACCTGAATTACTGGAAAGCATCAAATGTCAGAACAGCCCTGCCTAGAATCTATATGTCGCTAATTTACGGCCGAAGAAAAGGCGCTACATCTGGTAAGCTCGGATCACAGTTAAACGGCAAGGAGGGAAACTACGGTGCCTAATTCGACTTACAATATCGATGGCTATGTTGTTTTCTGGACATTACAGGTCTAATGAGGAAGACAAAATGAACAGACTTTGCAATATGTGATGTATTCCTGGAGTTTGACTGTTTTTCCATCTATATCAACCTGCAACTTGTGCAAGGTTTTTAATGTTCGGTCAAGTCTGCCCGACGCCAAGGACTTCGGAAGCGAGGTCACGAGTGCTCGAGGATTGCCGACGTGTTCGGGCGCGTTCCCGCCTGCGGGCGCCATTCCCCATCCAGCAAGGAAGATCCATGTAGTTTGCATTCGCAAATCTCCGTACCCCGCAGGTCATTCAGCTACGGTCATCTTTTTCATATCATATAAAATGTGTAACAGGCATGCACATGTGTCCCCTTGTGCTTTCCTTGCATACCCCTCGCATACCCACCTCCCTCTAATTTTTTCTAATCCGCTCACTACATTCTTTATACCTTTGTTACGATGATATCTGTCAAGTTTGTCCTTGCCTCCGTTCTGGTCGCTGCAGTCAGTGCTCAGACTCCAAGATTCCTTTCACCCGTCCTTCTCGAACCAGGCAATAACTCGGGCAAGTGCCTTACTGCTGCGAGTAACTCGAATGGCGCGCAGGTCACTATCCAGGCTTGCACTGGTGCCGATGCCCAGCAATGGACATTCGAGAGTGGCTCCGTGAAGCTGTTCAACAAGACCAAATGCCTCGACGTAACTAACGGAGCCAATGTGGATGGCACGAAGCTCCAAATTTGGGACTGCAGCAATAATGGCAATCAGAACCAGCAGTTCTATTACACTGGAGACAACCGGTATGCTTAGAGATTCGCATTGCACGTTTTTCATCGGCGTTAAATCGCTTTTATTAGTCTTGCATGGACGAACCATGGCAAGTGTGTTGACCTTACGAACGGAAGCCAGAACGACGGCAATCAGATCCAGGTCTGGACTTGCACGAGTAACAACGCGAACCAGGTTTGGGAAGCGGGTTACCACGTCACTAAGCTACCCAACAAGTCGCAGGACGGCCAGTCTGGCATCAATAACTGTGGAACGACGAACTCGCAAACCTCGCAGTGCCAGACTGCATGGATCAATGATGTGGACGACTTTTGTCTGTGGGCACCGCCTCAGCCTGGTACCGTTGGCGACACTGAGCAAATTGAGGTCGCATGGTGCACCAAGACCGGACGCGGCTCTCGTACTGTCCCTGATGGGACGCTTCAGGGTGTGCACTTTGTGAAGACGCCGGACTACGTTCAAGTTACCGGTGTCGGTGATTTCACGAAGATGAACATCCCGAACGGTGACGAAGGAGGTGAACTCGACCCGCATGGTCCAGATGGTCGAGGAAACCCCGTCGGTGGTCTCGTATTTGGCAACTCATTCGGTGCGAACCAGCAATACCACGAATGGACGTCGTTCATGGCATACAACGAATTCTGCTTCCGTGCCTGTGTCGGCCCGAATGCCGCAGTGAACTGCAATCACATTTACGACGTGATGGGATGCTACTGGAACATGCCTGCGAACTACGACTCAGGTGTCTTTGAGAGCTGTGATGGCGATGATGCTCAACCGATGGGTGTGTACGGTACTTCGACCTGGTTCCAAGGCCAGAACCCCACTCCGCCGCCGCACCCGCAGCCAAGCTCGAGTAACTGCCAAACCGTCCCTACTGTCACCGCTTCGCCGCTGAAGAAGCGCCAGGACATGGCAAAGGTCTTCGTTCGCAAGCAGTCTTAAATCGAGCAAGAACAAAAAACTTGACATGGACATAACCCCCTCCCCCCTCTTATTCGCCTTCCTCTTGGACTATCCATTGACTCTGTTGTTGTCTGTTTGGTATTTTTGAGGTGTCGAACCCTCCACTCCTTTGTTGTTACGCAATACCTTAATGCCTTGTGTAAATGGACCTTCGCTCCGTCTTGGACTTTAGCTGATACATAGTTACGATACCCTTAGTCACACTATTGTCGCAGACATGTGCATGTTAACCCCATCATCAGCTTGGGGAGTGTTGTCAAATATTAGTACAGTGTGTACGTCTTACAATAACGGGTGGTATAATTTCCAGAAGGTGAAGAAGACATACAAACCTTTGTTTCTCGGTCGTTTGTCGCAATCTTACACTCACAGACCACAATGCCTCATTTTGATAAATTACATGCATTTATAACACGACGAAGACAAGGATATCTACGAATCAGAATCATCCGACGGCGATTCAGGTGTCTTCGCATCTTGCGTACTCGGCGAAGAGTCTACAGATCAGACAGTAACCCTCTAGACGACATGTTAGAAGGGGGAAACGTCCTTACCAGCGGAAATAGGTCCGTTCCCGTTCACCTTAAGACCACCAGGCCCCTGCGCTCGTACAGCTTTCTCTCGCTCAAGAGCTTCTTCCCATCCTTCGGTGAAGAGCTCCGGATTTTCTGCAGGTGATGCGACTGCTGCTGCGAGCTTTTTGCGATTCTTGGACTCTAACTCGCCGCGCCAGGCGGTGACAGCTTTTGGAACCAGACTATGGCGAGACGTGTTTGATCAGATATCGGAGATGTCGAAAGAGAGGCGGGTGCGAGGGAAGATGTGAGGCTTACCTTGGTGCGTATGTGCGTGCAAAGAGAGCCGCCTCAGGTGCACGTTCAGTTTTGACGAGAAGGTCAACGCAGGCATCGGTATCACCAAGTTGGAGCCGGCATGCGAAAGCCAAATTGTTTTGGCCCTTCGCCTCTGCGTAAGTAGATTTTCAAAGTCAGTGAAAAGCTATTAAGGTTTTCTTCTGTGCATGAGAGAACGCACCAGCTTGTGAAGCAAGCTTGCTCAACCCGTCTCGGTCACCAATAGCCAATAAGAGGAGCATAAGCGCGCTCAGATCACCTGCTCGCTCAAAACATTCACGAGCAAGGTCGAAGCGCCAAACGGCGAGAGCGCGGTCCCCAACTGACTTCCATTTCGTTTCTGCCTCAGTTTCGGGTAATGAGCGTACGATGTCAAGTGCTGCATCTAGATCGTCGAGTTGTAGTGAGAGGTCGAACTTGTGGTCTGGGTCGGCGGTTACTTGGAAGGCCAGTTCTTTGAGGTCTGCGGAACCAACAATTAGATCACAGTTAGGAAAGAGAAATTGTCATATGGACGTACCACGTGCTTCAAGGAAGCGTGCAACCTTGTTCCGCTGTTCCTTTGGTATAGAAGGGAGTATCTCGGCAGCAGCATCCATATCATCGCGCAGAACGGCGGTCTGGTATTCGATGAGGTTCAGGGAGAGAGAATATCCGTAGATCCTAACGTCCTTGTCACATAGGTATACGCGGTTGTGTGTCGGGATGTAGCCGAGTAAGTACATCGGGCTGCATGCAATGATAAGAGATACTGGGACGGGTAGTAAAAGAAAACCTTACTTGTCGAAGTGTGTTACGGTCTGAGCCTCGCTACCGATGAGGTAGTTGAGTCGGTTTGCTGCGTTGGTGTAGATGAAGCAGTCGCCGATCCATTTGCACGTCTTCACACTGCCCCAATACTTAGTATGCAGCAAAGTCCGCTATGTGGACAAAATATGAGACGTACCTCTCAGATACATCTGCAATGACTTCGAAGGCTTCTTCGACACCCTCGTCACCAATTTCAGCTCCAGACTCTAAAGCAGCGTCATATGCGTCCCTGTTGAATCGAAGAATGTAGAAGGACTCGTCAGAAGTGATGGCCACGAGGCTGCCGGTGCCAGACCAAGAAACCTAAATATTAAAAATTGCTATCAGACTGCGATATACAACATATCATGAAGCATCAGCCATACGTTCTTGGATTCGACGTCAATTCGTCGAACAATCTCGCCAGACTCCCAATCCCAGAAGACTACAAAACCACTCGCTCGCGCACCGAGAAGAGTGCCACCATGTAAGCTCTCAATAGGCCAAGAACCAACACCTTTCAAGGCTGAACCAGTCTTTTCCTTGAAGTTTTTGAATAATCGAACTTTTGTCCGACCCTCAAGCACGGCGTACGTGTTAGAGTCTCCAGCCCATGCAAATGAAGAACCCGATCCGAAGGCCTTGTTTCGCCAAGCAAGTGCTGTATAGATGATATATTCGCCATCACCCACAACAGTGACGAATCGGCCATTTGGGGAATGTTGCAAGGATGTTGCAAAGATCTCTGTTGAACCGATCTCACGCGTAGAAATCGGAATGCGTTGACCTTCGGTTACGTCGCTGTCCGCAGCCGACTGGAGGTTCGCGGACAATACTTCGGTGTTGCGCGTGTAAATCAATTTTCCGGAGGGATCCATGCTAAATGCTGGTTCGTCGCGGCCAAGTCTGATTACGACTACTCCTTCGTCGAAACCGACTGCAACATCATTCGCCTGTGGACGAATAGAGATACACCATGCACGTTCGAGAGCATAGCTGAGAGTATTTTCGAGGCGGTAAGTACCACTGTTCCAGATTTTGACCGTGCCGTCCTCGCTTCCACTGATGATCAGTGGCAAATTCGGGTGGAACATCGCGAATGATACATTATTGGTATGACCTTCCAATGTTTGCACGCAGCTTTTGCTGAGGTAATCCCATACTTTGACAGTGCGATCATCGCCTGTGGTAAGAAGGTACGGTTTGTCCGCGCCAGGATAGAACTCGACGTAGTTTACACCACCCTTCTCGTGTGCCTCCAATGTGAAGTTCGGAGTCGACGAGCCAAGTGACCAAAGCTTGACAGTACGGTCAAGACACGAGCTTGCAAACGTGTTGGTGTCCTTCGGATTGAAGACAAGGTTCATGATATAGTGCGTATGCCCTTCGAAGACACGAATACATTTCCACTGTTTATCCCAGTCCCATGCCTTGATGGTCATATCGTCACATCCCGTGAGAACGATACTAAGAGTGGGATGAACAGCAAGACATCGAATGTAATCTGGATGCGCCTCGAAGGCGGTGACCTTTTCGTGCGTGTTGTAATTAAATATGCGTAGCTGGAAATCGTCCGAGCCGGCAACAAACCAGTTTTTGCGAGGGATAAAGCGTACACATCGTACGGGTACTTCAGCGACCTCGAACGTCTTGACAAGCGCCCCAGTCTCATGATTGTAAATATTAACGCTGCCATTATACAGGCCTGTCATAAGCCATGGTTCCGTCGGATGGAAGTCTACGGCCTTGACGCGGTCCGAACGCTGGAACAATTTTCTCTGTGCACAACGGTGAATAATTGCAAATCACTGAACGCAGTAATAGAGGCATACATTGATGTCCAGGAACATTTTTGTCCTCTGCGTCGATGTCTAAGTATTAAAGTAATTATTCGTTGTCGCCTTCGACAGAGCACGTCGATCTCAGTCGTGGCAGGTCAAGTAAGTCACGTGCACAATATAGTGTGACTTTGTCACCTTTGTTACAATTACCACGTGACACGCGCGTCTACAACGCGTGAAATGGCATGACTTCTGCTTCTGAGCGGTGAGCCTGCAGGCTTTACTTTGAACGACGTCTACAACGTGGTGTTGCATGTTGGCAAGTCCATAATAGCCTCCATGGCTCACCACAGCTCTACGTATCTCTCGCTGTCCATGATTGCGGTTCCTGCTCTCCTCGTCGTCCTTCGTTTGCTCGCCTCATTTCCATTACCACCAGAGCCCGTGGCGGTTTACCCATCCTTGGCATCTTTACCTAAGGACTCGCACTCTTGGCTCATCTATCCCGAAAATTTCTATGAGGGTGGCAACTACGTCAATTTTCCTTTCGGACGGGTAAGGCAAAGTTCATATGCCGAGTTTGGGAAGATGAGAAGCAGTATCATGAACACGTGAATTTCATAGGTCAGATATTGGCTACTTGGCCCAGAAGAGGGCCAGAAGGTGAGATAATGAGACAACTTCTCAAATAGACGTTTGATCTTGCTTACATGAGACTTAAGATTGTCTTAATACACGGACTCTCCGTACCTTCAATTATTTGGAAGGACGTTGCACCCACACTCGCTGCGAAGGGCTTTCGGATTCTTATTTATGGTAAGGATAACTTTCTGTACTCGAGAGGTACGACTTATGCCCCATTGGAAGATTTGTACGGCCGTGGTTACTCCGATGCTCCATATCTGCCCTACTCTGCTGGGTTATATACAACACAGCTCGCTTTATTAATGCAACACGTTCGATGGGAACGAGCACATATCGTCGGGCTATCGATGGTTCGTGGGATAGTTTTACCACAACTTAAGAGATGCCAGCTGATTATACTAATATACTAGGGAGGAGGCATCGCAAGCTCCTTCGCTGCTAATTTTCCCAACTTGACAACTAGCAAAATTGCGCTCATCGCAGCAACCGGATTAATGGAGGTAAACGGTGTGCTTCGAAAGGGTGAATGCAAACACTAGACGAAGAACTTTTTCCTTTAGAGTTCAGATCTGTCGCGTACAAGCAGAGTCATGTCATCACCTCCTGTTCAATACGTTGCGTCAACGTCCGTCGTCCGCGTGAGTAGTGGAGCTGTAGTATATTCTCTACGGTCAACCACTGAACCATGTCCTTCAGTTTCTTCTGCAAAGATTAGGAGCTGGCGAACCATCCTCAAATCCGATACACGAGGTGAGCTCTACCAAGCATAAGTTTTGCCCCGTAAGGTTCTGAGTATATTGTATAGATCGTTCAGATTCAGTCCGCATATCTACCCGGATACAATTATGCAATTGCATCCTCGCTACGTGACGGCCCTCTGCGCGGGCTACGTTCGTCATTCAGCACGCTCACTGACCTCAAAAAGGACCTTCTCTTGATTTGGGTATATGCTTAAATACTGTTTACGATTTACTAATACTGACTATTAAGTACGAAGGGGACGTCCGACAACACTGTGCCATATCGTTACACTGCGATGATCCAAGAGCTTGTTCCTAACTCCAAACTCCTCACTGTTGAAGGTGGTCATCATGATCTAACGCTGTCTCATCCTAAACTTGTCACAGAGGCGCTCGTTGACTTCTTCCGCTCTAAAAAATAAAACATCGCATTTTGTATCCTGTTAAGTCTTCGGATGTTTTGCCTCTGCTCTGTTTTCCACCGTCTCCGCGTCTCATCCTTTTGCTATGCTATTTGTAGACATTATCTTGCCCACTCTATTATTCATTCACATTTGCACACATTCACACATCACAATTCCGCCATACCCCTTCATGTCTATTTGCACAGCTTGACCTATTATTACTCGCAATGTTGTACTACTTGGACTATTACTCAGTTGCTTGACTCTGTCATTTGTCTTTTCAGTAGATTAAGAGATACGACTTGCTAGTACCTGGCCTGAATGAGTTTGTTCAGGTCAGCTCAAGGTGCGTCCGTACGTGCAATACCTATCGTGCCAGGTCCGCGTCATTGACAACTTCCATCATGGTTTATGCGATGTGTCATAGGACACGCGGATCTCATTTCTTTCTAACTTTCTGTGAAGGTTACTTGATTTGGATTTAATATTCGACGAAACGTCATGGTATGTCGCATGGATCACATCCTCCAAGCATGCACTAAGACAACGCATAGCAACCTCTTTTCTGATTACCAAAGTGGTTTCTCTACGTTGATATTCGTGCAGTATTCATCGCAATTGCAGTAGAAAGCCTCTAGGCTATCAATTGAAGTCCTCGGGATTCGCACCGTCTTTTACGTATCGGAGCCATTAGACTTTGCCCGAGCGGGATCAAATCAAGAAAACTTGCCTCACGAATTTTCATTTCCGTGAACACGTGTTATCAACATGGTACTGATAATTACTCTACACAGCTGGCTAGCACGATAATCGTGTGTGTACACCCTCGGCAGGTCCTTTCCGGCGCACAGACAAGTGCGTGTGTCTTTCGCGCCATGCGTGTGCCTTCTTTGTCACGGCTAGCGTGCTGGCTGGAGCATGGAATCCTGGATACCCTGCCTCGATGTTTCCTGGAGGCACCTCGCTGTGCTTGATATGCACGGCGGGTACTTCAAATGCCTCCACCCATCGTACTCCATTCCTCTGTCCGCCTCCGCCCCTCTCCTTCCTCCTCTCCCATCCAACCCATCCTACGCTAGGCGTAGTTGATTTATCTCGACGCCTCGCGTCTCCTTATCAAACCTCTCTACCGAAGCGGGATCGTTCTCGCATTAATTTCCTGTTTCAGCTGACAAGATGTCTTCGCCAGCAGCAACATCGAAGCGCGCGCCTTCACCGGGCCAGAAGTCGTCCTTCCGCGCAAGGATGGGCACGCTGGCTCGACGCAGCTCGTCGTTCCTCATTCCGTCGCGGCCGTCTTCTCCATCTCCCTTGCGCGGCGACTCAGACCCGATGTCTGGTGCTTCGGGCACTGACAAGAAGTCCAAACGGGGTCGTTCTAGAACTACTTCGATGAGTTCTACTACTTCTAATGTGCAGACGCAGACTGCACCGCTTGTTGTGCCAGTAGAGAAGAAGGAAGAGCCGAAGGCGGAAGTGGCGCCTACAGAAGAATCTGCTGCTCCTGTCGAAGCAACTTCCGCCGCCCCCGGTGCAGTTACTGAACCGGTTGCACCTGCTGCAGAACAAGCATCGGAACCGGTTGCGGAGCCGGTTGTACAGCCAACAATAGAACATGCAGCTCCAGAGGCTACTCACATTGAAGAACAGAAGCCAGAAGAATATAAGCCAGAGGAGCAGGGGTCGGCAGATGAGAATTATGCACCTGCGTACCTACCTTCGGAATCGGAATCGGACGTTCCAGAGCGTGGACGACGAGAGGATCGCGGTAATGCAGCGGCGTATGAACGTTCTCGGTCTACTTCCGTTGATGTTCATCATGTTTTCTCCGAGTCTCCAAAATCTTTGTCTGCCTCTCTACCTTCAGAGAATCTCGATCACACTGGTCCGAGATCGTCGACGGACTCTACTCCTCCGAAGTCTTCATCGGAATCTCCGAATCAGCTCAGGTCACTTTCCGTGAAGACCTCGCGAGAGAATTTGCACACGGAGCTCAGTCCGATCGTAGAAGATGAGCGTTCCGCTCTTGAAGAAAGGCGTATGCCCTTCGCTCAGCCTGCTCAGCCAAATGCTCTGCCACCATCCGGACTCAGCGCACCTCCAATGAACGCACCTAATCTCAGTGAAGGAAGTGGTGGAACTACACCGCGTGCAATGCCAGTTCCATTTACAGCTAATGAAATTCATGAACCGCACGCTGTCGAGGACAAGGGCAAAGGAAAGGAGGCAAATGGTGCTGCGGTTCACACAGCTGAAAACTTGCCTCTCGATGGCTACTTTTCTACGGCGGCACCAATGCCTGTCCCTCAGTTGTCAGATGAGCAGTATGTTCGTTATATGCTGAGTTTTATGCCAGTTCTGAACGAATCCATTGCAGATACTACGCTGAGGATCCGTTTAGGGATCCCGAACCCGCGTCTGACTCAACTGTTCATTTCCAAGGCATGCCCGAGTATGTTGGTTTCTCGTTTGTAATGCATGACGATACTCAGAGGTGTGTTGTAGACCAGTAACTCATGGTTACCACACGCTGGACGGTCACCCTGCGATTGAACCTCCTCACCTAGCTCCACCAGTGGAGTCAATGCCAGTCGCTTACCCACTTCCTGCGCTTAATGAGGTCACTTCTCAGTAAGCTCAACGCATCTAACACATAATGGTCTGTAATAACTTTTCCAAAGTAATCTTCGCTCAGTTCCTTCGGACTACACTCTTGGCGGACATAGCAGTCGTGTTCCGAGCGTTCATAATGAAGTCCAGACCGAGTATGTTCAAGTTAAAAGTAAAATTTACTGAGCACTGATAATTTTTTTGCCAGCGAAACGCTCCCGCTCCTCACTGGACCAAAGGGCGTGGTAATAGATGGATTTGGGTATGGTCTCGCAACTACGGATGAGAAGGCTGATCCTTACGGTTTCCACAGCAAACATCCGGGCATGGCTCATAGAGACTTCCTGAGCTGCGGCTGGATCGCGTATGCACTTCCTGATTCGACCACGTATTACTCGCACCCTGGCATGCGCATCACCACAGACATCGACTTGGCGAACCCGCGAAAGCTAGAGGCAGTGATGAACTACGTCGATAAGAAGCTGACGAATGAAATAACACTCCCGTTCGAAGGTCTGGAGATCTGGTTGCATGACGAAGGACAATCTCGGGAAGACTTCGTGCCGGTCCGTTGTTGGGTTGACCATGAAACTCGAGCACTTGGATACTGGCCACCTCCCTCGCACAGAGCAGAACAATCATCCAGAGGATATGCGGAAGATCGTGAGATAATTCCAAGGGCACGCGAAACTTACGAACTGAGACGAATCACAGGACTTGACAATGAGTATAGGTACTGGGCGTTTATGGAGTCGCATCCTGCCCATACTCCCCTGCCTGTTAATGCATATGCGGAGGCTATGGACAAGTTGACTTGGTCATATACCGGTAAGTGTCTCGCCAATAGACTCCCCTGTTTCTGATGTTGAGATGCACTCTAGAACGTTTGCTAAAGTCGAATCGACGAGCACCTCCACCATTTACTCAGCATGAGTGCCAGGAGCTCATTGGCATTCTTCGAAACACATCAGGTACGTTTATATCTGGCAACACTCGGATAAATCTGACGCATCACCCCCAGGCTCTGAATCCACAGTCCAGGCCTCTATCCAAACGCGAGTCGTAGCTCGCATTCTTCGGCGCATTGGTATGTCTCTGCTATTTGTACCGGGTTTCGTTCAAGCTCAATCTGTGTACAGTGCAATGGAAACAACACTTCTTCAGGCCAGAAAAGCCTCTGCCTCGCGGTGTCGACAGTATCTCCCGTAATCAGCGTAGCGGACCAAATCGCAAGACATTTGCTGACTTCATCGCAGTGTGGTTGTGCCTCGGGATTCCCTATCTGTACGCGAGTAGACATGCGTATCGTTTCGACGAAGAGGGAGGATTATTGCGTTCTGCTGGCCCCATGCTTGTCGTGGGTGCCACCGTATGCATAGTGGCATGTCTCTTCGGATTCTCTATGACTTTCTACCGCACTAATGCGTCCGTTTCGAAAGGCCGCGATGATTCTAGTCGCATCGCTCACGTTCCTCGCTCTACCCGGACTCGATCACGTCTCGAGGACGGCCGGGTTCATCGCGATCATCGCTTCGTTCGCGAGCCTCGGAGCGTCCGTGATCGCCGCCCTGAGGAACAATGTAGAGGTACAGCGAATGGCGGCGCGAGGTGGTGAAGGTCTAGTCGTTACAATGTCGACTCTGACGGTAAGATAACTTTGCACTGTTTGATACGAAGCAAGTTGACGTATTGTTCATAGGGAAACAGCATTCTGCCCTCTTTACCAGCTGTTTTCCTGGCTTGGTCAATTCTTTCACTCATTACCGGTATCGTTTTATATGCATTTCGAGGCTCGGTCGCGATTGACACCGTGCACTGGACGAGAATTGCATCATACACGCGATGGACCACCATTGGTGTCCTCGGATTTTGTGGAGGCGTGTTGATCACGTCCGCGATTTTTGCACGACGATAAATATCTATTTTGCATCTGTATCCCATCCAACTGTACCTTTTCATAAATTTGACATGTATCCGCATTATGTATTTTCATGCATCACGCCTCCGAGAAACCTCTGGCCCATTCCTTTCACTGTTTCACCGTATGTTGCGATGCCACTCAAATATGTATTATGACGCATACCGCTCGTAGATGTTTTGAAATGCATATGATAAAATTGTTTATTTTCTCTCGGTGTCTTTGTCTTGAAGGATAAAGTACTCTGTACCATATAAGCCTGCACAAATTGCAGTTGCTCCCGTGAGGACCATTGAGACAGGACTTCGGAGCGTAGTAAATGAACGTCTCGCGTTCCAGAAGAGGTACGTCAGAGACCACGCTAGGTAAACGAACGGACTCAGTAAATAAAGGCCTCTTGCTTAAACTTCGAGTTCTTACCAGTTGATATGCCACTCCCGTTGAGGGAGTCTCCGGTGGAGAGAACGTACCCAGCGCCATACATTATCAGAGAAAAACCTGCACGCTGAGGAAAGGGAGGAAGTTTTGGAAATCTCCCAGGCGGGAGTGCAGAGCTTGCAAGAACTTAATTGGGTAATGTGAATTGTGAGGTTTTAAACCAAGTTTCAGCAACTTTCACTCACATAATGAGGCTAGAGACCAAGCTGGCCATCTAAATTTGTGACAATGGTTACTTTTGGTTTTCTGATGGTCATGTCGAAAGAAGAGCATACGGAGATTGTGAATATGGCCGGACGGTACTTGCAAAACTCCTCTCAGAGGCCATTTTCGCGTTCTTCCTACGGCTACTTCTAGAGCCGCAAAAGAAAAGAACGGAGAGAAGATTGACGATTGGGAAGGTTGAAGACTGTCGGTACTTTTCTTGATTTTATTTTCGAACTCCGCACAAACCAGATTATTACGCGTCCGTGAAATCACATCTTAGAAGCGATATGTCACAACGACGAAATACCAAATTACTAGATTATCATCGTTCTCAAACATCTCAACTAGCGCCAACTCTTATTACAAATGAGACAAAAAGGTTGGAGTGTGCTCATCTTCTAAATGTCTCGTGTGTAATTCAACCGACTTCTAGATGTATTCGTAATTTGAGTGCTTACAGAGCCCCAAAGTCCTTGAAGCGGAAAGGTCCCAAGTCGCGTAGTGCAGCGGTACTTGTAGCTCTTTTTATTGGAAGAATGGGAGATATATACGTCCTTCTGAGTCAGTGAGTAGGCAATTTAAGCGCCCATTTCCGCGTCTCTGTTGTTATTTTCGCTTTATAAATTTTTATCATTTTCACTGATCGAGCAATTCTGTTCGTTCATAGGCGAGCCACTACACTTCGAACATATGCTGGCGATACGTCCCTTCCAGGTGGCAAGGTAGAAGCCAGGGATCGTAACATAGAAGAAACTGCGGTGCGAGCCTTGCTTCTCATAAAGTTCTTAATCTTATCATAATACCATTGGTGTTTCAGAGGCGCGAAGCGTTTGAGGAGGTATAGTAAAACATCATGCTGCTTGAATAGCCACTGAAGTTTGATCATGATGTTTCAAGATCGGATTAAGCATGGATAGAGAAAAAGTTCCTCTCTTGTGTATTCTTGAACCATTCCTCGCGGGCAATCAATTAATAGTCACTCCGTAAGTCCGTATCTTTCGGTATCCACAAAATTTCTGACAGACGTGGCAGTATAGTCGTATTGGTCCTTGATAAAACTTTAAGGGTTAGTACACCCGAGTTCTACCAAGTTGTGGAAATCTGAACTGAGCACGGCTTAGCCTGTCCTCAACCAAGCGGAAGTCTCATCCTTATTTTCACATCCCTTAAAGTCATTTCTCAGCACCGAATCTCCATTTCCGCTCGATCCGCATATGGATGAAGTGCCGTACTACACTTACAATGACATGCCCTGGTACCGGGGCGATAGGAATCGGTCGATACGGATGCACCGGTTTCTTACAGGACGAGAGGCTGGTGGGATCAAGCCTGTTTACGGCCTCACTGCGTAAGTGCATTTCTTAATACGCCGAATATAGTTATCGATTGATGCCAAAATAGATCCATTTTGATTCGGGTTGCTTCTGTTGGCTTCGCACACCCTCCGGAGTTTGAACTCAGTGCACCAGATCAACCGAGCATGACGGAACGCATCGACTTCGCTTTTCAACATGATCCAAAGTTCATTGAAGCGTTCGAAGAGGATGACTTAAATGCGAAATCATCAACATCTGGGATCGTACGAGAGTTTCTCAAGCGTGCGCCGCGTTTACAGAGGCGGCGGCGACGTGTAACGAGCCATCTTTAGCTGGCTCTGCATTCTTTGTGCGGTCAGGATTCCTCGTTGATGAATGCTTACTCTTTCGTAAACGTTTGTCGCAGTTAATCAAATAGAAATTTTCATTTTAGGGGGCGTCGGAGGTGAGATCTACTGGCTCACCGTGCTTAACGGCGATCGACGCGGAAACCTTCCGAGAATGGATACGCAAGTCACACTGCGTAAGTGCGTGTACGTTATATGATCACGGAGTCTCGTCCCGTCGAGCGACCGTATGTGCGAGATACAAATTCTGGGATCGGCAAAAATCAAAACGATGGCATGTATCGTGAAATTTCCAGCTCTTATAAAGTCACGGATAGCTGGAACATGCGCGCCTCACCCATCTTCACTCACTCTCGTTTCCCCCTTCCTCATCTTAGTTTCCCGTATAATTCTCAGTTGCTAATCCATTATGGCTCTTGCCTACGAGCACGATCTGGAAGGCCCTGTACTCACTACTGACTCTGCAGGAGAGGATGAAGTCACTACTGGGTCACCTCCTGGTCTTGTAGAGTCGAATGTTACCCACGATGGTGCTTTTCATCGCCATTTTGGCATGGAGAGCCACCCTAGTAATGGTACTCATGCACTCGCTGGGCTGGAGGGGCCTGCAGAGCACCATGAGCCAACAACAGTCTCGCATGTTGCCATCGACCACTTTGATCCAGATGGTGTGAACGAGCTGAAGCGTACCCTAACACGGCAAAGTGCCAATGTGGGCATTGCAGGTCCTACTCAGCGTGCATGCGTGCGAAAGCAGCCTAGCGGAATTACGCATTCCTCATCAGCTAGCACCGTTGTGCAGGAGACGGGTGGACTCTACTCAGAGAAGTTTAATTTTGAACAGCATCTGAGGGATGTCGTACGACAGTGAGATTTCCTCGAATCTTCTTCTGTTGACTTTAGATAATTGACTTAATGTGTTTCGTATACAGAGAGAATGAACATGGCATTCAACCTCGCGAGCTCGGCGTTGTATTCCAGAACCTTCGTGTACAAGGCCGCGGAACGACGGCGAGCTTCCAACCAACTGTTGGTTCGCTATTGAATCCATTCTTGGCCGCGGAAAAAATGAGGAACTTACTTCATCCCCCCGTACGAGATATCATATCCGGTTTTGAAGGTGTGGTCAATCCTGGAGAGATGCTGCGTACGTCCATCTATTCGTAATGACTCTGTTGTATCAATGACTAACTTACACCCTATCATTGCCAAAAGTCGTGCTCGGCCGTCCTGGCTCTGGATGTTCGACATTGCTCAAGGCGCTTTCGAATCAGCACGATGAGTACCATAACGTATCGGGACTGTTGCACTTCTCTTCCTTCACGCCGAAACAAATACGCAAGCACTTCCGAGGCGACGTAATCTACTGTCCCGAAGATGACGTTCACTTCCCAACTCTCACTGTGGGCGAGACGATTGGCTTTGCCGCGCGTACGCGCATGCCTAATAAAGCGACTCGCCTTCCTGGTGTGAGTCGACGTGAGTTTGCCGACAACGTTGTCGAAATGCTCGGTACAGTCTTCGGTCTCAAACATGTCAAGAACACGAAAGTCGGGAATGCCTCGATACGAGGTGTGAGTGGTGGCGAGCGCAAGCGTGTATCGATAGCAGAAGCCCTTGCAACTCGCGCGAAACTGGGCGCGTGGGACAACTCTACACGTGGGCTGGATTCTTCAACTGCATTAGAGTTCGTTCGTGCCTTGCGAATCGCAACAGACAATTTAGGCCTCACGTCAATCGTTTCAATTTACCAAGCGTCGGAGCTGCTGTATGATCTCTTTGACAAGGTTTGTGTCATCAATGAGGGACGGATGGTTTACTTTGGACCTGCAAGGGAGGCACGACAGTATTTCATAGATCAAGGATGGGAGCCTGCGAATAGGCAGACAACTGCAGATTTCCTTGTCGCTGTAACCGATCCGGGTGGGAGGACAGCGCGTGAGGGATACGAGTTACGCATCCCACGCACGGCTGACGAGATGGTCGCTGCTTTCCAGCACCATCCACTTGCAGAGCGAAATCGGCGGGAGATCGCGGCATTCCTAGCCTCAAATGTCCTTCTTGACTCCAGTGACTCAGGACATGAAACCCTCGACTTGAAAAGGTTTTCAAGCATTTCGCCAGTGTCGAAGGAAGATAAAGAGATTAAACGCATGTCATACATACATTCCGCCCGAGCCGAACGAGCCAAGTTTTCGTTACCTGAGAGTCCATACACTATCAGCATTGCGAGTCAAGTGCGCGAGGTGATTATACGAAGAGTGCAAATCCTCCGTGGCGACTGGTTCACGCAGGTTCTCACAGTTGGATCGTATGTGTTCGAAGGAATAATCATTGGCACACTTTTCTTCAAGCTCGAAGTCTCGACGAGTGCATATTTCTCGCGTGGTGGTGTGCTTTTCTTGTACGACCTTTCTTTCCATTGCAGCTCGTGGTCAAGGATAGATCTAACAATTCCTTTTCAATTGCAGCGCCATCCTCTTCGGTGCATTTTCAAGTATGGCAGAGATTCCTGCGTTGTATGCACAACGACCCATCGTTCATCGACACGAGAAGGCCGCGATGTATCACCCGTTCACAGAAGCGATCGCATTGACTCTCGTCGATATACCGATCTCTTTGTTCACACTCCTCCTTTTCTCGCTTGTCCTTTACTTTCTTGTCAGGCTCCAACGGTCTGCGAGTCAATTCTTGTAGGTTCACTGTCTGGAGCTCATCTCAATTACCTGAAGCTGACTTTGTTGGGGATAGTATTTTTTACCTTCTGGTTGTCATTGTTACGTTGACAATGAAGGCATTCTTCCGTACGCTCGCTGCGGCATTTAAGAGGGAGTCAGGCGCTCAGGCTCTTGCTGGCGTCGCTATGATGGCTCTTGTTCTCTATACCGGTTATACAATTCCGAAACCGTCGATGATTGGTGCTCTGAGGTGGATCACTTACATTAGTGTATGTATTTCTTTGTTTGACCACGATATCCAGATTGCTTACTGGCAGAATTCATATTAGCCGGTCCGCTATGGCTTCGAAGCAATTTTGACGAACGAATTTTTCACACTAAATGGGACGTGTGCTACGCTTGTGCCGAGTGGTCCTGGATACGAGAATGTCTCACTTGCCAATCAGGTGTGCACAACTGTTGGATCTATCCAGGGTCAACAGACTGTCGATGGCAATCGCTTCGTACAACTTTCGTACGGTTATTCGCGTTCGAAGCTCTGGATGAACTTCGGAATTGAAATCGCGTTCTATGTGGGCTTCCTCGTATTCCTCCTACTCTTCACTGAGCTCAATACCTCGAGCGCTGCGGATACCGCTATGACTTTGTTTAAGCGTGGGGCGAAAGCATTGGTCGGAGTCGAGGCCAGCGGCGAGCCGACAGATGAGGAAAAAGGCCCCGCTCGTGGCCCCGCAGCGGCAAAGAGTGAAAACTCGTGGAAGGTCGAAATTACACCGGAGTCGACGCCAAAGATGACGGATATCTTCTCGTGGCGAAATTTGCAATATACTGTTCCTATAGGCAAGGGTGAGACGCGGCGTCTGCTGGATGACGTCTCGGGTTATGTTGTCCCTGGAAAATTGACTGCACTTATGTGAGTCCTCTCAGAAGCCTCTTTTTCACTCGTTTGATACTGATGCATGCTCGATTTTCAAGGGGTGAATCTGGAGCAGGCAAGGTTGTAATGAACTGCGGTTTGACGTAGAACGGAGCGCTGATACATGTTGCCCATACATGTTTAGACAACCCTTCTGAATGTTCTCGCTGGACGCACAGATACGGGTGTAATATTGGGCGATCGTTTCGTCAACGGCCAAGGTCTACCGCATGACTTCCAAGCACAAACGTAGGTTTTTATTAATATGCAATTGAGGACCATATGCTAATTCTTGTTTCAGCGGCTATTGTCAACAAATGGATACGCATCTGCCAGAGGCGACCGTTCGCGAGGCACTCTTATTTTCTGCAATGCTGAGACAACCGCGTTCAATTCCTCTTGAGGAAAAGGAAGCATAGTATGTTTATTTCCTATTGATTGACGTTCTCACTGTGATGATCTTCATTAAAACTAGTGTCGATACTTGCTTAAAGATGTGCGGGTTAGAGGCTTTTGCTGATGCCATTGTTGGTACGTTGAACGTCGAGTTCAAGAAGCGGACAACGATCGGAGTAGAACTTGCCGCGAAGCCGAAGCTTTTGCTCTTCTTGGACGAGCCAACCAGTGGTCTGGATAGTCAGTCAGCCTGGGCGATCATGGCGTTTTTGCGCAATCTGGCAGACAACGGACAGGCGATTCTTTGCACGTGAGTGACTGTTACACTGACTTAACAACATGCATATAATTTATGCGGTCCCTTGTTTAGCATCCATCAGCCTTCGAGCGAATTGTTCCAAGTCTTCGACCGCTTATTGCTTCTTCGCAAAGGGGGACAAATGGTGTACTTTGGGGATCTCGGGGACAACTGCTCAACGTTGATCGACTATTTTGAGAGAAACGGTGCACGCAAGTGTGGACCGCAGGAGAATCCGTAAGTATAACAATGGATTGTCTTAGCTCTTGCATCCATTCTTACACTTCATAGAGCCGAATGGATGCTCGATGTAATTGGAGCTGGCGCGACGGCAACTACTACGATAGACTGGCATGAAGCTTGGAACAATTCGGTAGAAGCTGCCAAATTCAAAGTTCACCTGGAGGAAATGCATGAAGAAGGCCGAAAGAAACCACCAGTCCAAGCAACACAGAAATCGGAGTTCGCCACACCTTGGGGTTATCAACTTTACGTACTCTTAATGCGTGCCTTCCAAGCTTACTGGCGCAACCCAACTTATATCATGGCAAAGCAGTTCTTGAACATCGCTGCTGGTCTTTTCCTTGGGTTTACATTCTTCAAGGCTGATGATTCGATCCAAGGCACCCAGAACAAGCTTTTCGTACGCGTTCATTGTTTATTTGAGACATTCCCATGTATTAACTATGCACATCCATCATGCTAGGCAATCTTCATGTCGACTCTCCTTGCTGTGGCACATGCTAACACAATCCAAGTGGCCTTCATTGATTTTCGGAACATATATGAAGTGCGCGAGCGCCCAAGTAGAATGTACAGCTGGACGGCACTCGTGACAACTCAGCTTCTGGTTGAGTTACCATGGAATATATTCGGCTCTACTTTGTTCTTCCTTTGCTGGTACTGGACGGTTGGATTTGAGTCGAGTCGAGCAGGGTATACGTACTTAATGTTTTGCGTCGTCTTTCCACTCTATTATACGACACTTGCACACGCCGTTGCAGCAACAGCACCAAATGCTGTAATTGGCGCCGTGCTTTTCACGGCTCTGTTCTCTTTCGTAATAGCATTGTGGGTTACACTTCAATTTTACTCAACATTGCGGATGTAATACTAATCTGTCTCGCCCCTAAGCAATGGCGTATTACAACCCTTTGCTCAATTAGGTTGGTGGAAGTGGATGTACCACCTTTCTCCGTATACGTACCTTGTCGAAGGACTTCTTGGGCAAGGTCTGTTTTTCTTTTTCAATATTTCCCAGCGCATTACTTATGTCTTTCCATTGTAGCGATTGGGAAAATGGAGATAAATTGCTCCCCTATCGAGCTTGTACCGATAAGCCCACCCGACGGTCAGACTTGCGCGCAATATATGAATGCCTTTATTTCCTTCGCTGGTGGATACTTGACCAACCCTAATGCAACGAGTAGTTGTCAGTTCTGTGCTTTCCGTACAACGGATCAGTTTATGGCGGCCTCATTCAACATGTTCTATTCGCACCGTTGGCGCGACTTTGGGTTACTGATGACTTACATCGCCTTTAATGTATGTCTTTGAGATGCTCCTTTCTGCGAGATTGTTTGTGCTTACATGCCTCTTTGTTCAGACCGTCATGATTTATGTGTTTACATACGTCTTCCGTATTCGCTCGTGGCGCTAGGCTACTTTCTCTCCTTCCTCCTCTGCATTCGTTACTTTACGCCTTTGAGCTCTTCTTCGCACAATAATAATACCTGACATGGACCCAAGAATCCGTATGAATGTTTTGGCACTCGTGATCCGCGTTTTAGGTTGTAAATTTCTTAGACATGTGTAGTTTCGGCTAGTCGAGTTGATTAAAAATAATCTTTACTTAATTGGATACTCCACTTGATTAACTTTGCTCCCTTCATGTGATAGTTTGGATAGCAGTAGCATATCAAAGGCATTTTACAAGTACTCGTCCTTGGTTTGCTAAATACGGGAAATATCCCTGTTTCAGGTAACAAATAGTATATCTCGTCACATAACAGGATACGGGCCATTCAACAAATCATCAATAGTAGGAGTAGGACAGTCCTTTTAGTAAGCAAGCGTAAAATACATACATAAAACCGTTACATAAGAATAAGGTAGTACATAACCCATGTAATAGACCGAAAATACAATAACATCCTTCATCTAAGAAACCCATATACAGATTATTCAACAGTAACAGCTGTTTCCACACCACCATTCATCAAAATTCTATCTCTTTGCATGCCAAGGTCGTAAGGACCGGACATATTGCCCAAGATACCGTTACGAGGTACAACTATCCTCATTAGAGGGTCCCACATTACCGAACTGTGGAAGAATCTGCGAGGAGGGGTTTCGTGGAGTAATGCAGAAGTGTCGTGCTCAGACCCAGAACATATTCCGATGTCCAGATCATCATGGTGAGGTTCTGACCACGACCCGAGTATACTCATGCGCTTTGTTGATTGGTAACGAAGCGCACGCTGAAAGTCTCTTTCCTTCCGTACTGCACTCCCTACGTCTGATTCGTCATCGGTAGAGCCGAATTCATCCTCCTCTTTTACGGAATCGGAACGAAGCATACCAAATACCCTGCGGTATTGTTCTGCGCTTACATGAGTGACGAGTTTTATTATTTAAGATCTATATCAACTCACCTCCGAGCTCGTGATCAATTTCATCAGCGTCCTCATGTTGTGCAAGAACCATTTCCGACAGGCCAAGATGCTCTGCAAGTCCTTCTCCAGGTACTTCATGCATCTGGACCGACGGTGCAAAGGGTAAATTCGCCATCTGCTTGAAGACCTGATCCTTTATGTTATCAAGATATCCATCTATGGGATTCATGTCCATCATGTTGTTCGACAGTACTTCAAGTTGGTATCTTGGACCGAACCACTCAAAGTGCTCAGTCCATGGCAAGTTCCTGTCGATGGTATCTTCAATGTTGAGTGCGCAGGCCGTTTCGTATGCCCACGTTCGGCATACGTTCTTGATGGTATATCCTCCTCCACCCAGAAGAACAAGCGGTATGCCAGAGTCACGAAGGTATTGGACACAGTTAGCATGACCTTCCATGCTAAGATTGAAGACACCGAGTTTATCACCAGCAAGAGAATCTGCACCACACTGGAGGACAACAACGGAGGGTCGATACCAATCGAGGATTCGTTGGACAATTGGCTCAAAGACAGATTTGAAAGACTCATTGTCCATGCCATCACGAAGTGGTACGTTAACGCAATATCCCAGCCCTTTGCCTTTCCCGTAGTCATCGACATGGCCGGTCCCCGGAAAATATTCCCCGAATTTATGGAAAGAACAAGTGAAGACTCGATCGGTCGTGTAAAAGGCCTCTTCGACTCCGTCACCATGATGGATGTCAATGTCGATATACAGCACTCGTGGATAGGTTCGCAAGAGTTCGAGAATGCACAGAACGATATCGTTAACGTAGCAAAAGCCTGAAGCTTCACTCTTTTTGGCATGATGCAGCCCTCCAGCCCAGTTTATTGCAATATCGGCTGAACCATCTGCGACACGCTTCGCTGCATCAATGGACCCTCCGGCAGAAATTGAACAGAACTCGAAGACGCCCTCAAATGCGGGATTATCTTCACCAAGAAGGACTGGAAAGTGCACTTAGTCAGGCGGAGAAGTATACATGGTGGTAACATGACATACAGCGTGTCCCCTGGCCTGTCAGCTCTAATGCTGAATCAGGCGTTACTCGGTTAAGGAAGTGGATATATTCGTCGGAATGAAACGCAGTCATATTTTCGGAAGTCGCACGCCGTGGTCGAAGAACCTGCATCTTGTCTAGCATTCCATAGGTCGATACAAGGTCGTGCGTCATACGTATTCGGTGAGGCTTCATGGCGTGCCATGTACCATATGAGAATAGACCAACATCATCTAGAGCCACGGTCGGTCAATTCCTTCGTCAAGCGCAAGAATGCGTGCAAACTCACTATCGTAATAATAGGCCACGCGGCGTTTAGACATGATTATATGCGGGTCATAAGCTACCTGAGGATCACTACAAAAATTATTTCCCCGTCGCCACAGTTATTTTAGATAGAATCGGCGCCGTGGGCTATGCAGCAAGCTCCTGGAGGAGTAGATAAAAGCAGAAGAGAATCTATAGGCGCGAGCGCGTCTTGTTCAAAGATCAAGTGATGCGTGCACTTTCCCAAGATCACGTTCTCGCTTTTATAATCTATTTTTGGCAATGGGCATACGATTTATTACAAAGGTCAGTCGAACTTGAATTAGTTCACCAATCTTCTTTCACCAATCTTTCTCATATACGACTGTTTTACGCGTCCTAAAATCTCCTAAGGCTAAGCTTCAAAGACGCCTGCTTGACCTCTATCGACGAGTCATCATCCATTTGTCCGATCACGTACTGATGTCCGAGCTTCTCTTGTAGCGATCAGGGTCAAACAGATCAATGAATAGTTAATCCACTAAATTGTCCATCGGCATGAGTGGGCATCATCAACCAGTATCAAATCAACTTACGTGTTTCGGCATGGATAGGCGTCACCAGCCGGCCAAGGTATCTCTCATATCTTATAAGATAAGACAATCGGGCATGCTGTGAATCTCGCCCATTTACTGTTCCGCACTATGACGTCTGACTTGAAGGCACTGCGCGACATTATTTCGTCCTCAGTGGACAGCATAGTTCGTGTATGCGACAACACTGGGAGGGACTTCCCCTCTCTTGATGAGCCCGTTAATCCTTCAGAGTTCTCTCCGAATGGAATACGGAACGATCCCACTGTCGCTCAGTCTATTTCATTTATCGTCGCAGCGGCTTTGCAGCTTGTTGCAACTGTTCAGTCGCCGCCAATCACTCTGGTTACAGCATCCGTCCAGGTCTGTTAAGTGTCTCTCTTCCAATAAAAGCCTCATCCTCACGCAACGAATAATTACCCTAGTCTGCTCTGCCAGCAGCCCTCAGTGTCGCGGAGGCGGGGAACATTGCCGAGATACTCCGAGATGCAGGTCCAAAGGTATCCATTCTCTAAGACAGTAAAGAATTCGTCTGCTCATCATTCATCTCCTTTAGGGTATGCATATCAAAGAAATAGCTAAGAAAAGCAAGATGGAGGCCCGCAAGCTATGTAAGTCGCGGTGCGCCTCAATATTGTACCTGAACTTATCTGCAAGCTTTAGCACACGTACTTCGTTGCCTTGCAACGAACCACTGGTTCCGGGAAGTGAGCCCAGATGTATTTGCGAACAACTCGCTTTCTTCGCTTCTCGATACCGGGAAGGAGATTACTGATGACTTGTAAGTTTCCCTTTCTTTAATGGCGAAACTTAAATGTTACAATCTTCACTGATTGCTCTACAGCGGGGTAACGAAGTACGAGAATACCCCAGGAATGGCTGCGATGCTTGGCGCGATGTGCGTTCCTTCTTGAACCAATTCATTCACTAGGTTGAGACTTTGCAACCCCAGATCCGATTCACAGTTGACAACATTTTCCGCCCTTCGAGATGTCATGACCGATGAAAAAACGAAATTCTCAGAAGAGCCATGCGACAGTGCCTTTCAAAAGGCCCGTAACACAAACCTGTCTGTTTGGGAGTACCTCGATCTACCCGAGAATGAGGCCATGCGAAAGAGGGCCGCAATCGCGTTGGCTGGATCTAACAAAATGCAACCTCCTTCGACTATTTTATCAGGTTCGTGATCCCGATGATCAACTGCTAGGGCCATACCTCATGCATTATTCTCATCAGGTTTTGATTGGGGTAGTGTTCCAAAGGGAGGAGTAGTTGTCGATGTCGGTGGAGGGTTGGGACAAGTCGCCTTGGAAATTTCTAAAGCCTTCCCAGAGCTTCAAGTTGTTCTAGAGGACCGCCCGTCCAACGTAGAACAAGCGAAGCAGGTAGACCTCTTTTCATCGACCTGTTTCTTCATCGTAATGACGATATTGTCTAGTTCTGGAGTGAGAATCTTCCCTCAGCCGTTTCTAATGGAACAGTGCATTTTATTGGTCAGTAATCAAGCCTTGTTATCTCTCACTCGTAAATGTGAATTCACAGTTCATAGGTATGGACTTCTTCGAAGCACAACCCAAGCTCCCAGGCGATCCGAGCGTTTTCCTGTTGCGAAACATAATACACGACTGGTCCGATCTCTATTGCGTCAAACTTCTGCGACGCCTACGCGAAGCTGCAACTCCCACAACAAAACTTGTCATAGTTGATGCCGTCCTGGAATATGCGTGCGGTTCGGGGGATAACAAGCCTCCAGCTCCTCTTCTTGGAAATCTAGGTGGTGCGAACGTTCTTCCGTACAGTATGGACTTGGCGGTACGTTTAAATTTTTGTCACAATGCAAATGACATCAATAATTTGTGTCCTTTTAGATGTTTGCTTCGCACAACGCTGGTGAACGCACGAAGAACGGCTTTGAAGAGATCCTGTCCGCTTCTGGCTGGAAGCTTCAAGAGATTCGCAAGCACCCAGTCAATCCAATGTTCAGGCCCAGCATCATAGCGGTCCCCAACTAAGGGATGCCTCAAGGTCAAACAACTTTGCACGCACGTGCAGAGTAAATTCACATTCCTAGATGATTTACATAAGTAAAAGACGTATAGGAAAATCACTTAACCCCAACTCAGAATAGCGTTTTTAAACGCCTCTGTATTATTATGATATACATATTTGCAGCGACTCGTCAACAGAAGCGAATAAAACAAAATTCCAGCTGCAGTTCTATAAACTGCAGTCTTGACTGGGTTGATGTGGGAGTTGTTCAATGCCGACACTAAAACATTGCTAAGTGGTTTGCGTACATGCTTCAGAGGACAAAAGGGGTTGAATTGATTTGTGAAGCAGGGTGAGCCCTGAAGGCATGTCTGGACGTTGTGCCTATGAGGCGATCAATCTGATACACTTGGATGCTTAATTCTTTCTGGCAAGCTGTGCATGCAATTAACCAGTCTGTAGTGCTTTTTAAAGGTGGCAAGTACTCCACTGGGCCCCGAGGCTGTAGCCTGTAGTTAACTTGAATGTAAAGATTTCTCCGTTAATCCGACTTACTCCAGATAGTGAAATGCAGTGGGATTAGAAGACATACACCGTGCCTTTAGACTCGACTAATTGACAACATTGATAAGATAGCATCATTGAGTCCAGAAGCAGTGTGAGCGACTATGATTGTTATGCCAAAACAATTATTTGATATGAACAGTTGGCATTACGCCGTTGCAGTAAGGTGTCTAATGATGTAATTGTAAACAAAATCTTGAGTAATTCGCACCAAGTACAAAACTAACATAGTGTAGTTACGCACCTCTAAAGTAACTATCTCAATGGCTCAAGTATTTCCTCCCCTTTGCACGTCGCCTTACGAGAATCTTCCGGCCTGTGGGGGATCGTCTCCGAGCGAGAAACCCGTGCTTGCGCTTTCGCTTGCGTTGAGATGGTTGATACTCGGTTCCGCGTTTGACGTGTCGAACTTGTTGGAGGTGAGGGGTTGCCTGGCTTTGCGAGAGTAGTGATGGTGCAGGCAAGCGCGAATAGAGAGGATGAGGGATAAAGGACGGTCGGAGGTGTGCACGTAGCGCGAGACTCGGGGTCAGAGTTGGTGCCTGAGGATGCACATGTAGTTGAGACGCTCGACTTTGAATATTCGAAACACGCAGTGAAGGAGCACGTATCGATGAGAATGCCGACGCTATCGAGCGTGGCAAGCGAGGCATGGTCGACAATTGAGTGTTCACTGAGTGTACCAGTGTTTTTGAAATGAAATGAATGAAAATTCGTTGGTGTAGTGCACGTGATCTGTTAGATTTCGCGCCAAATAGATGTAAATAAACGCGCGAGTCGCGCTCTCTGTGCGTGACTTTGACTAAAGACGTACTTGCTGTATGTCTACGATCTCCACAAGACCCCTGTGCATTTCCAGCTAGTTTTACAGGCTCTTTTCTACATGTTCGGATGGATCCGTGTGAACAGACAGAGCCCGAGAAGGTCGTGAATGGAGCTGTGTACGAGAAGGACGCTCCTGAACAGAATACTACCGTGGACACTAATGGCGGGCTGAATGGTCATGACAAGACGGAAGCGGCTTCCGAATTTTCAGAGGGAGGACAGTCTGAGCCCCGAGAAATCGTGACTAATGGAACACAAAAAGCTCCAGAAATTAGGCCAGATACTCCGGAACCAGATACCACAACGGATCATAGAAGTGAAGAGGAACGTGACCATGGCAGCGAACCTGGAAGTCATGACGAAGTCGACGAGACAGAAAGTGAAGGCGGAGAAGAGGAAGAAGAAGACGATGAGGACTATGAACCAGCATTGAAGTACGATTTGCTTGGAGGTGCGACGGAAACGCTGCTAGAAAAGGACTCGGCCTCGGCCCTCGCAGTTTCTCCAAAATACCTGGTATGTTGCCATTGTACTGGCATTTTACCAATATAATATAGCTATCCACAGGCTATGGGGACACACAATGGTATTATACATGTTCTTGATTATTCAGGACAGCGAATAAAGTCCTATCGACCACACTCTGCTTCCGTAATTGACATATGCTTCGACTCCGCGGCTGAGTTCGTTGCAACAGCTTCGATCGATGGTAGCGTCCGCAATGTACTCTGTCTCTGAACGTTCTTAATAAGTTATTCTAGGACAGGTAGTCATTCACTCGTTATCAACGCCAGAAGTATACGCATTTGACAAGAAACGGCCCATGCGGACCATTGCTCTCGAACCTAATTTCTCAAAGCGCAGTTCCCGAACCTTCGTCTGTGGCGGTATGGCCGGAAACCTTATTCTCCACGAAAAGGGTTGGCTTGGTCACAAAGAGACTGTCATACACGCCGGTGAGGGTCCAATTTGGATGGCAAGGTGGCGAGGAACACTCATAGCTTGGGCAAATGATGCGGTAAATATCTATTACTTAGAATATTGCAGCATGAACTGATAAAAGTTTAGGGTGTTAAAATCTATGATACGTCATCGCAGACGCGAATAACATACATTGATCGTCCTCCCGATAGCCCGCGTGCGGATCTCTTCAAATGTACCTTACACTGGCAAGACGACACGACGCTTCTCATCGCATGGGCCGATACGATAAAAGTTGCTCGTGTGAGATCTAGACCAAGGGGTTCAGGTTCAAGTGGCACCAACTCACCTGCTCCTGGCGATTCAAGCAGGATGAAAGTGCTACCTCCTCTTATGGTGGAAATCACGGCAATTCTGGCAATCGATGACATGTTGGCGGGTATTGTACCACACCCAGCGGACCCTGTCCTAACGGATGCACCCTCTGCACCATCTGCATTCCTTGTACTCGCATACAGCCCTCCGGATACGTCATTCAAGGAGGAAGCTCCTGCCGACGCGAAAGTCCAAGCTCGAAAGCTGGCTTCGCGGCCCGAGTTGCGTATTATATCGCGAAAGGGAGAAGAGATGTCTTCAGACGTACTCGGAATTTCGGGATATCAGACATGCGGATGCAACGATTACTGGTTGGCTGAAGTACCTGAAGAAGGGACTGGGACTGGTGCTGGGAGATGTTATGTTGTTCTGAACCCACGAAGTATTGTGCTGGTTCGTCCTCGCGATCGCCGTGATCATATATCATGGCTAGTTGAGCGAAAACGATATGAAGAGGCGTTAGAGCAGATTGAACGCATGCCTGGAGAGGGCCTCGATGCGGCTGAGATTGGTCAGCGTTATATTGAACACCTTGTCAACGAAGGTAAGGAACACATTGTTCTGTGATGAATATTATACAGATTTTAATTGTTATAGGCGAGTATGAGAAAGCCGCACAACTGTGTCCGAAGGTTCTTTCACAAGATGCTCAACGATGGGAAGATTGGATATTTGTCTATGCACAGAAGAACCAACTTCAGGTTTGCCTGTTACAGAATTTTTGCGAAAGAACTCTTGCTGAATCTGAATTCGTAGGCTATCATTCCATACATTCCCACCGAGACCCCTCGTCTTTCGCGGCTTGTCTACGAAATGATTCTCGCCCATTTCCTCGCTCATGACCGAGAGGTATGTTGCCTCCGTGGGTCTTGATCAGTCGATACTAATAACGTCGTAGGCACTCTTGAGGACTGTTAAGGAGTGGCCAAACACGATCTACGATGTCGGAGCAGTCACGGTCGCCGTGCAGTCCGAACTCAGTCATGTATCATCTTCTAGCGCAGAGGCTAAGATTCTTATGGAATGTCTTACAGAGATGTTAGTGAAATATCTTGAGCATATCATATATCGAATGTCTATTGACGACATTTCTGAAGGTACCTGGCCAACCATCAACCAGGCAAAGCTCTTCCTTATGTTCTGCGTTTGAGAAGAGAGAATGTCTTTGACCTTATTCGTGAATATAATCTTTTCACGGATGTGCAGGACCAGGCGCTTCTCCTCGTCGAGTTTGACCAGGAACTCGTCAAGCAGAGGCAGGAATCGGGTGGAGATGGAGGTCTAGACTCGAAAGGCAGGAGCCCCGCTATCGCATTGCTTGTCGATCATACTTTTTCTATACCTGTTAGTATCGCGTTAATTTCTCTACATAATAGATACAGATGAGGCTGATGTTAACTTTCCGCGATTGTGCACAGGTTCCTCGCGTAGTCCAGCAACTTGAGGGCCGACCGCAGTTCCTCTATTTATACCTTGATGCACTGTTCGCCAAGGACCCTCATCTCGCGTCGGACTACGCAGACGAACAAGTTCAACTCTACGCCCAATATGCACCTAACCGGTTAATAGACTTCCTTCGTGCGAGTAACTACTATAGTCTCGAAAAGGTCAGCTCGTTACAGCATTCACTTTGTGAAGGTAAAGGTCTGACTTTATACGTATAGGCTTACCTGGTCTGCAAGGAGCGTGACTACGTACCAGAGATGGTCTTCTTGCTCGGTCGTATGGGAAATAATAAGCAGGCCCTTACCTTGATTATCGAACGCCTCGGCGATGTCAACAGAGTCAGTCCCTTGGCCTCATATAATGAATGTTCCGTTAGCTCACCTACAGAACTTCAGGCTATAGACTTCGCCAAGGAGCAAAATGATGACGATTTGTGGGAAGACCTGCTTAGATACTCAGAGACTCGCCCAGGTACGTCTAATCCTCCTAGTACCTGTATCTCGGTCACACCGTTAACATTTCTGCAGCCTTTATTCGTGGACTGCTGGAGAACGTCGGTGCCGAAATTGACCCTATACGCCTGATCCGACGGATCAAGAATGGATTAGAAATTCCAGGTCTCAAAGAGGCTCTCATCAAGATTCTGCAGGCGTTTAATCTGCAGATCTCTTTACTTGAGGGGTGCCAAACTATTTTGGATGGTGATTGCTCCACGCTCGCACGGAAACTACATAAGGACCAGACCAAAGGCTTCTTCGAAACAGGCGAGCTTGACTGGTCTACAACGATAACTCAAACACTTACCGCATTGTTTAGCTGCATCGAAATGTCTGTTTTGCAACTTGCCCTTACACCAAGGTCCAACGTCCGCGACTGTACTCTTTCTATGTCGACACGTTGTGCATCTCTCTTGCGTGAAAGGCGGAGATCGATTATCACGCCAGCAAGATCCTGTGCTCTCGAGTATACTAGGTGGGAAACAGGACGTCGGAGCGAAGATCGCTTTGTGAGTGACTTGTGTTCCTCTTTTAACACTAAGCGATCCGAGGATTGGGTGCATATACTAACGACTTTCTTCTATGTAGTGCTGCGATGGTACGTAGACGAATCGATCAGGGATGTCCGGTGTGTCACAAGCGGGACGAGGGTGAACGTGCTGCCTGAAAACCTTACGCTCTACTCGGCTGCCATCTCCCATCTTTCTTCTTCGTTGTTATCATGATGTTAAGCTTGCTTGCTTATAATGTATCTCGCGCATCTGTACAATATCATTGCACACTTTGTTTTATTGCATGTTGATTGATCTTCTCAAGTGCCGAGTAACTTCTGTTTCAGGTCATATGCCCAGCATCCGGAGCGGTAGTGCGGCCGTGTTGAAAAGCTTCTTGATGTAGGATTGAGATGATTGGCACGGCATCCTCTGGAAGTCAAATCCTGTCAATCCAGTCCAATGATATAATCTAGAACAAAGTGAAAAATACAACAGAAAATGAGCAAGCTCTTCGGAGCAAACAAATTCATGAAGGACACAGACAAGGAGTTTGTTCTCAGCTTTTGGAGGAGGCTGTTCAGCAGTACCAATCGGCATCCTTTCACTAGCAACACTTGATCGGAAGCAAATGAAGAACAACACCAGAACAGTACTTCTTGATCCTGATTACTCATGTCAGCCCACGCCTGTATCCTCGTCCTTCACTTGTTCTCCCTCCCCCAGCAATAGCTGACTGTAGTGCTGCCAGCCCCTGTTCAGTGAGTATCATATCATAAATTTCAAGATGTTTGTTAAACAAACCACCTAACTACATGACCAGAGTTTAGGATGCTACAGAACTCAATTACACCCTTATTTGCACTAATAGCATTCCTTACAATAGAGGTCAACTGTCGCAACTTACTCATAGCAGATCTTAAGAAGCAAGCAACAACAGTGTTAGCTCTGGCTTGTATTGGAGGCTTGAGTTGGATGAACAACACTTTACAGCAGAGCCCATGCTTGGTTGCTGCCTATCTCCTTTCTGTCTGTGCAGATGGGACATGGGAAGTGGCACCAATACCTAGTAATACAGTACACTACACACCACAAAGCATGTTCAGTGCAAATGCGTGTGGGTGGTGAGTGAACATAGCAATGCTTACTATTACAATTATGCACACATTCTGGACTGCTAATACTTGTCTTGATAGTTCATGGGCAGCTTATAACACCTTACAGGCATGCACTGATTGTCAGGGTCCAGACTATGAGTCTTCAATGATATTGTGGGTAATCTGCATTGATATAGCAACATAGTACAAAAGGTTGGAATCATCACAAACACAGATGGGACTTATATTCAGCAAATTGTACTGGACCTTTCTTATCCAGTACAGAGTAAGTTCTAAACTACACTTTGAGGAGCCAGTAATTTTGATCATTCAAACTTTTCAGGTATTATCCTACAAATAAAGCAATTCCAAAAGATACTGCAATTCCAGTCTGGGCAATCACTAATCGTGAGTCTATCATATAAGTTGTCTAATTAATTTGTAATTCCTTTGTAATTAGCCACGACGTGGCCCAATGGCATTTTCAACCTTACTATGGCTGGAAATATTGCTAGTGAAGGTAAGCAGCTTCATTTTTTTACGGACAACTTTACTGATAGCTGTGTCAAATGAAGGCAAAGATGATATTACTGAAAGCATCAGACACCCTCAGAAATCACACAAAGGCAGCATCATAGGAGCTGTTGTAGGCGGAAGCATCTTCATACTTGCTATTGCATTTCTGTCCCTCTACAGACGTTACTGCCAACGTGCTAAGGAGAGAGCTGATCAATCATGCGTGCCTTATTCTCCAATTACATACTCCCAACCATCGAGCTGGATGGACGCTTCAGCAGACTATAGATACATGGCTTCACATGGAATTAATGCCAACTCAGGGGACCCGGTTCATAGACCAACGTTGACTATAGTAATTTCACCAGTCAACGAAGGAGGCACGAATCTGAGGCCAATGGCAAGTCAGTTGAAGCAGCCGTTACACAATATACAACCAAGTACTGCAGATAATATTCATGCAAACATAACACTGGGTAATAACACAGCACATAATGCTCAACCAGGGAAAGCAAGAAGAGCCCCGGCTGAAGGTGCAGTTACTCCGTTTGTTCTCCCTCCTATTGCACCAGAGCCTACACATGCTGGAGACGAGAGACACAGCCCTCCACCACAAGATCACCTAGATGACGACTCAGCATCTACACTAAGTGGGACGACTCTACGTGTGCAGGAGTCACGGCACGCATATACACACCGCATAAATTCACGTTCAATTCTTATTTTAAATCATTCTGATTGCGAATTACAGAGTCCAGACGGAACACGAATAGCACTCTCCCTCGAAACAGGCCAAATCTACATCTTCGACCTAACCTCCCAATCCCTCATATCCACATACACCGCGCACGCAACGACAGTCCGGTCACTCGCATGGTCCGCCGACTCTTCGCTCCTCCTATCTGCTTCAGATGATCGACGACTTATGTTGTTTGACGTGCGTGCTGGTCGCGGAGGTGGTGCGGGCGGAGGAGCGGTTGCGCCGCTTGTAGGGCATGGCTCGTGGGTTATAAGTACGGCGTTCTCGCCTGATGGGCGGTTGGCACTATCCGGGTAGGTTTACCCTTATTTCAAATACCTTCATAGAGGCGTTTTTAATTGAGTACTTGTGTGATATAGGTCGACAGATAAGACGATTAAAGTATGGGACATTGCAGCGCGTGCAGCAGTCTCAACGATTCAGGATACTGGGGAAGTGTGGGGCGTATCATGGCGACCACAGGTTGCACCTGGTTCAGCTGGAGCGTTCGTCTCAGGCGGTGAAGATGGCGTCGTAAGGTGGTGGAGAAGCGCTGGTGCAAGTTGACCAAATCCTGCTTATTCAATTTACGAGGCACAAGAATCACTGACATGTATTGTTACGCGGGAAGATGACGAATACAAGTTTTTCTTGCTGGAGAATCTATCGGAAATGGACTCGTGTTTCTTGGATGCCAGTAAATCTCGGCGACATGCAAGACTCGTACGTATACAAAGAAAGTCCAGACAAAACAGGAGAAACATTCCACGGAACAAACGTGTAGGTAAAGAAACGCGTAACAGGAACATGAAAAAACCCTTCGTAGTCACCAATCACTTGTATGATGTCTGGGTGTAGGAACACAGCTCCTTGAACTGGTGTAATTGTACTATGACTTAAATTGACATATAACCAACATACAATGAAGGCCAGTGGACGTACCTCTGCCCTCTGCCCTCTGCCCTCTGCCCTCTGCCAAACCTGCCTCTGTCTACCGGTCTTGACTTGCTCAAGACCCACATAATGAGGGGATAGAGAAGGTTGTACTCACATGCGTACAACACATCCCCATCTTCGATCGTCCACTCTCAAGCTTTGCAACACGTTCGCCGAAATTCGACGACTCAGCAGAATGAATCGTGACATTCCCAGTCCCACCTGTAGAGGCATACGTCTCCCCACTCGGATGCAGCGATACACTCCACGCTATAAGCGAAGATTTAAACATACCAACACCTTCATTCACAAGACTTCAATCCATTTCACGGTACGTACCAGGATCATTCTCCCCGCTCCCACTCTTCACAAAACTATCAAACTGTCCCTCAACTTCCCCATTCTCCAAGTTCCACAGCACAGTCCGCCCTTCAAGAGAATTAAACAACGATTTCTCACCCTTCTCATCTACCGAAAGCGAAACAATTCCAACAGGGTGCGCGGGACGCGAAGAGATCGTTTGTCCTGAAGACGCGTCGAATTGTTTGACTGTTCCGTCTGCAGAGATGGAAATGATACGGTCTTTTGGTGTCCAGTGGATTCCCCAGATCGCATCGGAGTGTTCTGTGTGTGATTCATTTGAGATGGTGTTGCAGAGTTAGTTTACATCGTATGTGGACAGAAACTCGGAACGATCGCGTACTTTCTTGGCTGTCATGCGAATGTAAAAATTGCAGGCTCTGTGATACAACGATTTTAGTCCAATAGTTTAAAAACAATACAGTCATTACCTACCATGATTGTCTTGGTTCAAAATCTATAACTTTAGCGTCTGTAAGTGTACCACGAAGGGTCAGAGGCAAAACAAGCTTTAGCGCGTCAAAACGCGTCAAGAGCATCACGTGTCGCCATCAACGAACTTCCATCCCAAAAAAATCCAAATATATGCAGTATTAATCCTAACTACAAATGCAACTCTAGGACGATATAGTACTGTGCAAGAATTGTGAAGGAACAACCAAATGGGGACGAATAGACAACTGAATCCGAAAGCATCGCGATAGCAAGTGTTAAAGCACTAGAAAAACGGATAGATATGATCATATGTATGGGGTAGGATGAACGGTTGACGGAATCACCAAGCGTAGTCAAGTGTGTGTGTATGCAGGCGGGAGGAGACTGTGAGTAGACAAGACGTATTGCGAAAATCACGACTCGACACTGATCGAAACATCACCATTCCCCCACCTCTCGTCTGCGTCAACAGCCATGTCGTCTTCATCCACACCATTCATCTGAAGTTGCATCCGCTCCTGACTAGTCGGAGGACCTGTCAAATCCATCGAAGGTAAATCACCCCGCGCAGCACCTACACCATCTCTCAACACAACAGTCTTCAAAGTAGGATCCCACACAGCCGCACTGTGGAAGAACCTTCGAGCCGTCTGGCCTGCGTCTTCGTCCGTGATAGACGTCTTCATAGACCCAAGTAGACTCATGCGTTTTGCATAACGATGTGGATATAGGTGTCTTCGACTCCTTTCGGTTGCTTGTATGTCGTCTGAGTCGGAGTCGGGTGATGATGGCCCGTCGTCGTCACTTGATGACGACTCGTTCCGGCGAAGATTGAATACACGGCGGAATTGTTCTGATTTCAGTGTTAACAAAATTAATTGAAGAAAAAGATGGAAAGACTTACGACCGAGTTTATTGTCAAGTTCTTCTGATTCCTGGTTCTCTTCGATATCGAAGGGAGGAATTCCGAGATGCTCGCCTAAACTTTCCCCTGGGACTTCGTGCATCTGTACGGAGGGTGCGAAGGGTAACGCCGACATTTGTTTGAACACCTGTTCTCTACAAACTAGTTAGCATCACAACGCGGAAGAATATTGTAAGATGCCCACTTTATACTTTCTAAGTAGCCATCCTTCGGATTCAAATCATCCATATTGTTTTCTGCAACCTCCAACCGATACCTTGGGCCAAACCACTCAAAATATGCATTCCACGGTAAGTTCCGATCAATCGTATCCTCTATGTTGAGCGCACACGCTGTCTCATATGCCCAAGCTCGCGAAACGTTCTTGATCGTATATCCGCCGCCGCCGAGTAGAATAAGAGGAAGTCCCGATTTACGGAGGTATTGCACGCTGCTGGCGTGTCCCTCCATCGTGAGGTTGAAGCACCCGAGCTTGTCGCCTGAAAGTGAATCTGCCCCGCATTGAAGTACAACGGCAGAAGGTTGGTACCACTCGAGAATACGTTGAATCACAGGTTCGAAAACACCCTTGAAGGCTTCATCCGTAAGGCCATCTCTTAGCGGGACGTTAACAGCATAACCAAGGCCCTTATCCCTCCCATGGTCATCAACATGTCCCGTGCCCGGGAAATACTCCCCAAACTTGTGGAACGAGCATGTAAGCACTCGATCCGTCGTGTAGAATGCTTCTTCAACACCGTCCCCGTGGTGGCAGTCAATGTCGATGTACAGTACACGCGGAAATGTTCGCAAGAGCTCAAGGATGCCAAGTACGATATCGTTGACGTAGCAGAACCCAGAAGCTTCGCGCTTTTTGGCGTGATGTAGTCCACCAGCCCAGTTGATTGCGATGTCTGTTGCTCCAGCGGCAATACGCTTCGCAGCATCTATTGACCCGCCTGCGGATATCGTGCAAAACTCGAAGACGCCTTCAAATGCAGGATTGTCCTCTCCTACCAAGACTGGGTTCAGACATTATCAATATCTCGCATATTAAACATAGTTTAGATCAAACAGGACATACAGCGCGTCCCATGATATGTCAACTCCTCTGCCGTCTCCGGCGTCACTCTGCCCAAGAAGTGGATATATTCATCTGTGTGGAACGCGGTCATATTTGTTGGAGAAGCTCGTCGGGGTCGTAAAATGTCCATCTTGTCGAGCATGCCATATGCAGAGACGAGATCATGCGTCATGCGTATCCGGTGCGGCTTCATCGGATGTCCAAGACCGTACGAGAAAAGGCCGACATCATCTGTTGTTGGGGCAGAACGATAAGTTACGTTTCTCATGTACGTTTTCCATGATGCAGGAGTATGCAAGATAGGACGTACTGTCATAATAGTACGATACACGCCGTTTTGACATGGGTATATGCTGTATGCGGCACTGTAACTTTCCACTTCGAAGTGAGCTGATACACAGTGATCTCCCAATGTGCAAGGGTTCTGAGGCAAGTCCCGGATATTATACACAGTCCAAAGCGATCTATCTGAACGAGTAAAAACCAGCAAAAGTGACGAGGAGAGCAGTGGGCGTTGAGGAGAAACGTGGTCGCCAGAGTCGAAAACTCGGGAGGCGCGATCGCCGTAACTAGTCTTCATTGTACACGATCACGAGATCCACTTTGCTTATATTTTCTGAGAGCCAGAGCTCTACTGGTCATCACACACTCTTCTACTGCTCCACGACTGCTCATGTCCACCCTTTCACCAACGGAACTTGGAGCAGAGAAGGTGTATCGATAACTTCTTCGCATTTAAGCCTGAAACTCCGAAGCTGTGTACACATTTGATATGGCCTGTCACGGTTCACCTGGAGCACAGAAGAAGCGTGGAAGTTGGCTAGGAACGCTACATCGTGTAGCATTGACGCCTGGAAGGTCCCTCATTCGCGTAAATGTGGCAAATGCTGCTATATACCTACATGAGATATGCTGCAATCCCTCTATCTCAACAAACACGACTGAAACTCTTTCACTACAAGGCAAGATGAATTGGTCAAGGTTCGGAGGTTGACCATCACCGAAACCACATGCGGTGTAAGGTATCCATGCATAATATACTCATGTATGATTAATGCTGACGAGGTAGTACGCTTGACTGACCGACCCGTGCAATGTGGAGAATCAGAATGTTTGTAGAAAAAGAAATCAATCAATTGTACATCGATTATCACAAATATAAGAATGATGCGCTCATGCGTTGGATTGTCTTTGGACAGTGACTTGGCTGGCGCTCTGCCATTCTGGCCTTACAATTTCAGTGTTTCTGATTGAATCGTGTTCAGATAAGTGACAAAGAACACAAATGTTGATTTATAGTATCATCATGATTTGATTTACAGTACTAATCTGCCTAATATGATCATGTACTGAGCAGCACGATCTTCTACCAATGAATTGCTCAAGCCATTTCTATTGCTGTATATCTGAGTAAGAGAAAAGAATAAGGGCAAATAGAAAAATGAAGTATTTCAAAAAATTAAAAGCTGAAATATTCAAATAAGGATTGTATTCAATGATGGGTCACGTGCCTCAACAGATGGTCAAATTAACCCACTCGAAGGCGTCCAATTTCGAAGTCAAGCTTTCTTGTCTTCTTTCATTTAATTCACTGGAAAACAATGTCAAAGATGCACAGGCCTGCCACAGGGTGCTCCGAGTGTCAAGGAGGCCAATATCAGTGTCAAAAATTGACGAAACATGGGCAGGCCTGGCCTTCCAATTTTAGACATCGAGGAGCTTTGTTTCGTTCAAGATGAACTTAGGTTTGTAAGTTACTCATCAATCCATTTCTCTCTTACTGACTAGATACGTTTCTGCCCAGAGTAGAATGACTGCCCAGAGTTGGGTAATGAATTCCGAACGATACGACTATGGCAATGTAGATACGACTGGTATTTGTTCTCGAAAGGTCGAATGGCGAACTGTTGCCAAGCAAAGTGAACGCTGTTTAGCCGCGTTATAGTGTTCCCGAGTTAGCAATCCCGCTCCAATAGAAGGAGAAGGTTGCCGGGTAATTTACTTGCATCCGCATCCAATGGGAGTACACTTTCTTTTCAGGCACCGACAAGGAAACCACCGTTGTTGACTCAACCCGGAATTAGACAGCGAACGCAATCAAAGGCGCTCGGACATTTGGCAGCGGGTGCATAAGCAAGCCTCCAGTAAACATCGCACCGCAGCACCTGCGCGCTTGCCGCAATTAAGACCAGTGATGACGAGTCCATCATATCAGTCCGGTCGCCACCATCTATCGGTGGTACGACTTAATCGGGGACACGGCGATGATAGGTGCAGACAAACGTTGTAATAATTAAGGGGGCATGCATCAGGACGAATTATGCACACTGTACAGCACAAGATGGGTAAGTCGTCCGATGCCGGATGTCTCGCATCTTCCGTATCTCGCACTTAGGGGAAAGGAAATATTAATCGTCCTGCGTTCTGCGTTCATTTAGCGAATCGATGGGTCGTAAAAACACGCTGGAAAACAAGCGTCCTTCCCTGCTGTTTTATGCACTTTACGAACTGGACATTTAGACGATTTGTCAGTTGCACCGGGCTCGAGTGCGATACGGTGACGGAAATTGTTATCGGAGCAAACACGTGCTTTGGTTAGCCATGACTCACAATGCTGACGCGATCAGATCGCGGAAAGAACGTTCCGTGCGATGGCAAGACGAAGTGCGACAACTTGCGACGCGTCAAATCCCGGCAGTCCAGGCTGACGATATGTGCGACTCGTCTTGTCCTCGGCGCCTTGATATAACTAGGCTGGTCCAATGCGATCGCACAATCACGCAAATTTGCCCAGTTCCATTTCCCCCTTCCCTTTTATTCACCTTGTAACTTCCGCCCTTCTCCCTTCCCTCCCTGGACCACTACCGATCCTCATTCCTCATGGGATCGAATATGGAGCGCGGCTCAGACACTCCAGTGTCGGGCACTCAAACCCCTGCAGAACGCGACGTCGTTCCCGAGCTTCCGTCTGGACCTGCTTTGGCCGCTGCAAGTCATGGAGATGCTTTCCATCAACACCACGCTCCAGGTGCAGAACGTCCTCCTGAATCAGGCGTTGAGAATGTTCGGAGACCAATGAGGCGTCGCGCTTCGACTTGTTCACATGTCGCTATCGACCACTTTGACCCAGAGGGCGTGAATGAGCTGCGACGCACTCTGACACAACAGACGCAGCAGAGCGCTGCGGCGCTCTCTACACATTCACTTCCGTTCCGTCGCGTCCGCGAACAGCCCAGTATGGTACCCTCGTCTGCGGGCAGTACTGCGGTTTCCGAGGTCGTCGGTCCGGATGCTGAAGCCTTTGATTTTGAGCAACATTTGAAGGATATGGTCCAACTGTAAGATTTGCATAGCATACAGTGAATACCAGTTTAACGTATTTCATTACAGAGGAAGCGAACATAGCATACAACCTCGTGAACTCGGTGTTGTCTTCCAGAATCTTCGCGTGCAAGGTCTCGGGTCGACAGCGAGCTACCAACCCACTGTTGGCTCCCAGTTAAATCCGTTTTTGGCTCTCGAGAAGATAAGGAATGCAATTCACCCTCCAGTACGCGACATTATTTCTGGCTTTGAAGGCGTGGTCAATCCTGGCGAGATGCTTCGTACGTTTACGTTATCCATGCTGGCTATTTGTAGATATTTCTGACTTACTGGCCTTTTACTAAAGTTGTACTGGGTCGTCCTGGCGCTGGTTGCTCTACACTGCTCAAGACACTATCAAACCAACACGACGAATACGCCGATGTTTCCGGTCTACTTCACTTCTCGTCTTTTACTCCAAAGCAGATTCACAAGCATTACCGTGGCGATGTCGTCTATTGTCCTGAGGATGACATTCATTTCCCAACTCTTACTGTGGGTGAGACAGTAGGCTTTGCGGCTCGCACGCGTATGCCGTATAGGGCGGCACGGCTTCCCGGCGTCAGTCGTCAGCAGTTCACCAATAAATTGGTAGAGATCCTCGGCACGGTCTTTGGTTTGAGACATGTCAAGAACTCCAAAGTCGGAAATGCTGCTATACGGGGCGTTAGTGGCGGTGAACGCAAACGTGTATCAATCGCAGAAGCACTTGCTATTCGCGCGAGGTTGGGTGCGTGGGATAACTCTACACGCGGTCTGGATGCCTCCACTGCTCTGGAATTCGTTCGCGCATTACGCATTGCCACGGACAATTTAGGCCTTACATCAATTGTGTCAATCTACCAAGCTTCGGAGTTGCTCTACAATCTTTTTGACAAGGTGTGCGTTATCAACGAAGGTCGTATGGTTTACTTCGGACCGGCAAGCGATGCACGGAAGTATTTCATTGAACAAGGATGGGAGCCCGCGAATAGACAGACAACTGCGGACTTCCTTGTTGCTGTCACCGATCCAGGTGGGCGTACGGTGCGCGATGGGTACGAAGCGCGTGTCCCACGCACTGCAGACGAGATGGTTTCAGCATTCCAGAGGCACTCACTAGCGCAGCAAAATCGTCAAGAGATAGCGGAGTTCCTTGCTACAAATGTCATTACTGACGTTGACCCCGATGATCCACTCGCCGGAAAGGGACTCCCCAGCGTTCCCGCTCTATCAAAGGAAGAGAAGGAAATCAGGCGTAGATCATACGTTCAATCTGCGCAAGCAGAACGAGCGAAACATGCACGCCCTGAGAGTCCGTATACGATCAGCATTGCCAATCAGATCCGCGAGGTGATGGTTCGGAGAGTACAAATCCTAAAGGGCGATTGGACGGCCTCGGTTATCACTGCCGTGTCGTATATCTTCCAAGCGATCATTATGGGTACAATCTTCTTTAGGCTTGCGGATTCGACGAGCGCGTACTTTTCGCGTGGTGGTGTGCTCTTCTTGTATGTTCCGTTAACTTCTTTAAATTTCAAAATCTAACTCCATTTCTTTGACTTCGTTGAACTTAGTGCTGTTCTCTTCGGTGCTCTGTCATCCATGGCTGAAATTCCTGCTCTTTACGCTCAGCGGCCGATCGTCAACAGACATGCAAAAGCTGCGATGTACCATCCGTTTACGGAGGCTGTCGCTCTTACTCTGGTTGATATACCAATTACATTCATCACGCTCATCATTTTCTCGGTCATCCTCTATTTCCTAGTCAAGCTCCAACAATCTGCTAGCCAGTTCTTGTAAGTTTATCCATGCTTCCGTTTGTATTTCCTCTGACAGGAACTCATTTCTCCATGCAGCATTTTCTTCCTCCTAGTCTTCACTGTGACATTGACAATGAAAGCTTTCTTCCGTACACTTGCCGCAGCATTCAAGCGGGAATCGGGAGCACAGGCTGTAGCTGGTGTTGCGACTCTCGTTCTTGTTCTCTACACCGGCTATACAATTCCGAAACCGACGATGATTGGTGCACTGAAATGGATTACTTATATCAATGTACGCTTTCTAACCCAACCACTCCTTGCCGCAATAACTGACTTGTGGGTGTGTCTAGCCGCTCCGATACGGTTTCGAGGCTATCCTGACAAATGAGTTCTCTACGCTCGATGGGACGTGTGCTTCCCTTGTTCCAAGTGGCGCAGGATACGAGAATGTCAACCTCGTAAACCAAGTGTGCACAACTGTCGGGTCTATCCCGGGCCAGGCGACCGTCGATGGTAATCGCTTTGCACAAATTTCATACGGCTATTCACGGTCAAAACTCTGGATGGACTTTGGAATCGAGGTCGCCTTTTTTGCCGGCTTCTTCGCTTTACTCTTATTCTTCACCGAATTTAACACGGCCAGTGCGTCAGATACGGCTGCAACGCTATTCAAGCGTGGATCGAATGTGTCGCATATCGTTGAATCTAGCGCAACATCCTTGGACGAAGAAAAAGGTACAGTGAAGCCCGAGGACCCGGTGAAGAGAGAAGAATCTCCGGAGGAAGTTGAAAAGGCATTGGAGGCGACACCTGAGATGACCGATATCTTCTCGTGGCAGAACTTGCGTTACACTGTTCCCATTGGGAAGGGTGAAACGCGTCTTCTGTTGGACGACGTCTCGGGCTATGTCGTCCCCGGAAAGCTGACTGCACTCATGTGAGTAAATATTCGGCACAAAATACTCTCATAACAAATGCTGACGTGTTTTATCATTTGAAAGGGGTGAATCCGGTGCTGGCAAGGTAATTCTGAAACATAGTGGCCCGCAACGGAGACCTGAATTCGGTTCCTTTCCTATTTAGACAACACTTCTAAACGTCCTTGCCGGCCGCACAGACACAGGTGTGATCTCCGGTGATCGGTTTGTCAATGGTCAAGCACTGCCACATGATTTCCAAGCACAGACGTATGTTCTTTGTCCACTTCAGATAAATGATGAATTTGTATACTAATATTTGGTTTCGTTTAGCGGTTATTGCCAACAGATGGATACGCACTTACCCGAGACTACCGTCCGCGAAGCATTGCTGTTCTCTGCGAAGCTTCGTCAGCCACGGTCTGTCCCGCTTTCGGAGAAGGAAGCTTAGTGCGTATCTTTTTCCCAAGTATTAAATGACCTTCTTATGCTCTCTCTCGCTAGCGTCGAGACATGTTTGAAGATGTGCGGACTTGAGGCTTACGCCGATGCTATTGTCGGATCTCTTAATGTGGAGTACAAGAAACGGACAACGATCGGAGTCGAGTTGGCTGCAAAGCCGAAGCTCTTACTGTTCTTGGACGAACCTACAAGTGGGTTGGACAGTCAGTCTGCCTGGGCTATCATGGCTTTCTTGCGCGATTTGGCAGATCACGGACAAGCCATTCTCTGCACGTAAGTGTTTGCAATTGTTACTATATATGTTTGGACTAATTTAATGACTGGCGCCAGCATCCATCAGCCTTCGTCTGAGTTGTTCCAGGTCTTTGATCGTTTGTTGCTTCTTCGGAAGGGAGGACAGACGGTGTACTTCGGCGATCTCGGAAAGAACTGTATGACAATCATTGACTACTTTGAGAAGAACGGCGCTCGAAAATGCGAGCCTCAGGAAAATCCGTGCGTCGTTTTGTCCTCCGCATTTATTAGTTTGCAATACTAATTTAACAACAGTGCCGAATGGATGCTCGACGTCATTGGTGCTGGTGCAACTGCAACTTCGACGATCGATTGGCACAGCGCGTGGATGAAATCCGATGAGGCAACCAAGTTCAAGGCCCAACTCGATGAGATTCATGAGGAGGGCCGGAAGAAGCCGCCCGTTCAGGCTACGCAGAAGTCGGAATTTGCGACATTGTGGGGCTACCAGTTTTACGTGCTTACGGCCCGTGCCTTCCAAGCCTATTGGCGCAACCCAACGTACATTATGGCAAAACAGTTCTTGAACATCGCTGCTGGGTTGTTTATTGGCTTTACGTTCTTCAAGGCAAAAGATTCGATCCAGGGCACTCAGAACAAGCTTTTTGTGCGTTTCATGCCTTCATCATTTACTCTGATCGATATTGACGATATCGAATTAGGCGATTTTCATGTCGACCATTCTTGCTGCTGCGCATGCTAACACAATTCAAGTCATCTTTATTGATGTTCGCAATGTCTATGAAGTGCGCGAACGTCCGAGCCGGATGTACAGTTGGTCTGCACTCTTAACGTCGCAACTGGCTGTTGAAATTCCTTGGAACATTTTCGGTGCAACACTTTTCTTCTTCTGTTGGTACTGGACAGTCGGTTTCGAGTCGGGCCGTGGTGGATATACGTATCTCATGCTCGGCATCGTTTTCCCGCTTTATTACACGACATTTGCTCAGGCAGTTGCGGCGATGGCCCCGAGTGCCGTTATCGGTGCTGTTTTGTTCAGCACATTGTTCTCTTTCGTCATCTCTTTGTGAGTATTTCTATATATTTGCTGTATTCCGTGTGGTTTCTCACTTGACGTCTAGCAATGGTGTATTACAGCCGTTCAGAAATTTGGGATGGTGGAAGTGGATGTACCGCGTATCGCCTTTCACCTATCTTATCGAAGGTACCCTTGGGCAGGGTCAGTGCTAAACCGTATCAACTCATCTTAATGTCTTACTTACCATTTTGCACTGCTTAGCTGTCGGGAAATTGGAAATAAACTGCTCTGCACCCGAGTTTAACACTATTACCCCTCCCTCCGGCCAGACGTGCTCTCAATATATGAACCCGTACATCTCTCGCGCAGGAGGGTACTTACTCAACCCGGACGCGTCGACCGACTGCCAGTTCTGCGCGTATCGCACAACGGATGAGTTCCTCGAGACGTCGTTCAATATTTTCTATTCGAATCATTGGAGGGACTTCGGGTTGATGATGGTCTACATTGGATTTAACGTAAGTCAACTTTTGTCGTCCCTCTTTATACTTGAGTCGGTATTGACAATTTCGTCAATTTCTTTTAGATCGCGATGATTTACGTCTTGACTTACATTTTCCGTATCCGCTCACGGCGCTAGACTAAAAGACTGCTCACACATACTTATTCTCACTCCTCCGATAATCAACCTTACATCTCTCGTAGATACAAATTTCTAGAAACTTCTGATTATTTGTTTTTTTCACTTGCCATGATATTTTTATGCTCTTTTGACGAGTTCTTACTACGGACACTTGATTAGACGAAGCTTAATTGTCAAATAGTTGATAGCAGTATACGTGTCTCCATATTAATATGTTTGTATGATTGCAAAATTATAATGTTGTAACTGAAGGATGGTCCATTGTATAGTCCCTTGGGCTTTAAGTGCGTCTTAGTGCGAGATTTAGTGTACGAGTGGAAACTGTTTTGAGGGTTTCCCACACGTGGATAACCACATGTGGAAAACTAGCAGAGTTGAACAACTAATATGCTACTTAATACAGTTCACCACATAGTATTTTTCCCTGTTTCAGTTCCCCTCGTGGTTATCCTCGTGAGTAACCCACGTGGATAACCTCAGTGTGGCAAACTGGCCAGTTTCCACTCGTACTCTAGCGAGATTGGTTCCTAACGACTTGTACGCTTAGATAATACGTGCGAAACACAACCACGTGCTATGACTTCGGTTCCGACGCGCTTCTGGTGAACGAAACAACACAACATCCTTTCAGCTCTTTGAAACTTACCTTCACCACTCTCATAACTGTGCCAATATTTTTCATGACGCACTGAGGAGCTCTCTTAATTTACAGAGTCTCAATCTGATGCGCGACCCATCGCGGGAGACCAATGGGCGCTACGCGGGTACAAAATTGAAAAGGCAGAAGCCATGCGGCTCGATCTGTGGCAACGCAAAAATCCAATCTCGGAGATTATTGAGCTCATCGCCAACTCTGCTTTTACTGCGGAATTTGCCAGTCGTAGAGGCTCTCTTGAAAGTGGTTTCCACTACCCCCTCCCTCCCCCCCCCCCCAAACACACACATATAGTCATATACACAGAGTAATGCGTTTGGTACCTGACTCAATGTGTTGAGACTGCATCTCTGGTTGCGCAACAAATGATTTATGCAAAACTCAGGGATCTTTGAGTGCTTTATCGACCATCCTTGGACTACTCCGTCTCTCCGTCTCAAATATACATCAAGCTTCCAGGGGCACTCCTGTGCACCACCTTGACTTCTGCAGCGGGATAAGGCGGTGGTGCGGCAACCTTCAGATCTAGAACGGGAAAGGCTTCCATTCGTTCTCCTTAATGCTATGACAACTTTAGATGCACCCGGGGCTTCCGCGTTTTCTTCTGGAATGCCATATGGCAAATTGCATTTCTGTGTGCTTCTGCTCTTCGAGCTACCGAAGTTCGCCAATCTCCTGTCATCACATTACTGTACAAACAGCCCAGCTCAGAAGGCTGTCCATTTTTCCACACTGTAAGGCTCTCATAGGCACGTCTTGCGGACGCGTTGATTAGTGGCCTATACACCGGTGTTGGGGATCGACTCCACGCGGTAGTCTCCAACGTGTATTTCTGGACTCCGCTATGCAATTAGAAATGAATGTGCGCCATCGCGGACCTATTCTCGTTCTCTCACCATTTCCCGATCCGTATCTGTGAATTAGGCTTTGATTTACTGCTATTTTTTGGGACTCTTCTTCTCAAGGTCTCATTTGTTGGTTGGACAATGGTCCGTTCTACATGGCCAATCGCGTCAACACTGCCTTGCTTTCGTGAGGTCATTTGTCTGTGTTCTGTTATTTTCTTGTGGCTCGACTGACGACATGTTTTCGTCACTCACTCAGATGTCTATGCTGTCCCCTTCATCTAATTGTTTCATGGTGGGTATAAAGGAGGTGAAAATTTGCAGAGGGCGAAGACAAACACTGCTGTGTTGCTAAGTACTCCCCAGTAATCCTTGCTCGCCGCACATTATCCCAAGTCACCATGCTGTTCACTCGCATTGTCTCCTTCTTTGTCGTCTCTGTGACCTTTGGCACGATGGCACTCGCCATACCGAGCCCTGTTACCGCTGAGGTTGCGAAGCGTGACAATGCACAGATTGAGCAGGTCTTTACGACTCTCAAGTCATCGACGGACTCTATCCTCCCCCAGATTCGTACGTTTGCTCTTCTTCTCTTCTATCTAAAACATTGCATAATGCACATTGGATCTTAAATTAGAGAGTATTGCATCAAGTGGAAATGCGACTGACGATAACGTCACTCCGCTTGTCAACCAGCTCGTGGCTGCACTGGACACTGCTACCAGCTCCCTCTCTGGACTCTCACCTTCTTCACGAGCATTGATAAAGCGCCAAAGCGAGGATGATATTGCAAGCCTCGTTGCCGGCATCGTTTCCGTGCGTTCTATCTCTCATTTACGTTAAATAAATATTGTCTGAGCGTGTACACTCGTAGGACATCGCCAATGGTATAAGTGGCTTGCAAAGTGCGGCCTCTATCACAGATCTCGACACTCTCCTCGGTGGCATCGACTCTTCTCTCAACCAGGTTCTTCTTGGCCTCGAGATTCTTCTTGCTGGTGTCCTCCATCTCGTTGCTAACCTGTAAGCCTTTGCTTCTCCGACCTCACCCGTTCAATTTCTAACCATACAAAAATAGCCTTGTCGATGTTGCTGGTCTACTCAACCAGCTTGCTTTCGGGCTCACACTCGGCACGCTTGGACTGGCGTAAATTGTGTATAACGTAAAGGAACGGACATTTTATGGACATAATATAATTCTAAGTGTGTAGAGCTTTGTTTTGTTCCTTTCTATACATACGAACTTTTTCGGATACCACTGCGAGAACTTCATTTTACGACTGTGGAACGTTTAAAGTGCTTTCCTAGTAGCTAATTAGCCTGTAGGATCTCAGAACAGTGTCCGGGTTTTATCCGAGAACAATGAGAATCATTTGACTAGTAATTAGTTTCTTATTGATCCAATGGGTGCAAACATGATTAATTGTGTGATCATTCAGCCAGCTTTTGATCAACAGCGTTCTTACTGGAGATTTTCAGGCTTTAGTAGTGATCCGCATGAGCTGCTCGGAACGAGTTGCACGCACTGCCCTATCAAAATATTGAACGAAACGCAACCTTTCGCATGTCTGTACCCTTATTGTCACTGACTTTGAAATTTAAAATCAGACAATTCTCAGATTCCAGAAGGACAAGATGACCATTGACTGCCAAACATATTCCTTGTTCGAGAACGTTATGAACCTGCATAGAATGGCTTCTAAATAGCTGCAAGGAAGATCGGATGGGAATTACCTACGTTCTCCCACAGAATTTATCGTAGTCTGGTGCTCACTTCGACTTTGAACTTTTCGCCTCTCGATTACCACGAGTATTCGCATTCCCCTTCATCCCAAGGCCAAAGAGGAAAGAAAGACGCATTGATGCACCAACATACACGAACCCAACACTACCCCACATCATCGCATTCCATTGCCAAGCTTTCCAATACGTATCGAGTCCGAGCGGTGCCATAGTAACCAAATGTCCGAAGTCCGCAACCAAAAGACAGAATAGCAAACGGCGCCATGTACGCAAGGAGGTTGCTGACGAGAGGACGAGATGTTCGTTGAGTGCGAAGAGGAGATACAGGTTTGATAGCTGGTAAAGTGACATTACAACCTCAGTAGTTGGCGGTAGAGGAGAGGTTGTGGGAGTGGACGATAACGTGAGAAGCGAAAGGTATTCCGTTGGACGGGCAGCATAGAATGCACCTAATAGTGCTGAGACCGGCTCTACGTAGAGAAAGAAGAGGCGATACGGAAAGAATGGCACGGTGGAGGTTGCATCCATGGCTAAGACTGATCACTACTAGGTAGCTACGTGCTAATGTCTGATTGAAAATCCTAAGTTCGACACGTTTCGCGAGTATCAAGACTCAAATATCAATCCTAAACGAGTTTATGTTGTGTTAGAATGTATGAGATGCAAGATTAACTGCATAAATTACGGTACGCATGCATACTCACTTGGACGCTTGAATGCACTCACAAAGTGAAGTATGTTGAGGGCGAAAGTTTGTGTGAATAAAAGCTATAAATATGCATTGAAGACATTATTCTCACCATGCTACACGTGATCAAAAATATTACAGTGGTTTTACTGATACCTTATCATATAGGTTGCATTGTTTGTAGTTAATTTTAAGATTGTACAGGCAGAGATACCTGTTCCATCACACACGATTTATTTCTGTAATTAAGTGCCAATGCATACAAGATAAACCCATTTCTCTTTAACAGTCTTTGCAACCAGTCTCCTTTCCTAACTCAATGCAATCAATTAAATGCTTATACAGGGAGAAATAAGAAGCATGTAGAACTGGCGTGTCGTATAAGAGACAATAGAGACTGGAACCTTCAGTACTAGTAGCTGTAGCAATTTGAATGTTGTCTCTCGAGGAACGGACCACATGCATACTCTCAACATTCTCCAATTGTACCCCTACTTGATCATCTATCGCTTCCTTTACTTTCTCCGGATAGACAAAAGGTAGCCTCCACACACGAAGCTATCTTTGGGTTCGCATTTTCCTTTTTTTTCAAGAAGCAGTACACATTATTCATTATTCAGTTTGGTCCAATAAACTGGTACAAAATGCGTCTAACAAGGCCAGACAAATGTTGTGGATCATTCTACAACAATACAACATCAATCTCGTACTCATCACAAAATGCCGTCAAATGGGAACATACCTGATATGTATTCATAACCATTCCCATTCCAATTGCACACAACTAGACATCATATTATACGAACATTAGTAATGAACGGGATCAAGAAGAGAAAAGGACGTTGGGAAAAGACTTACAATCGCATCACCATACGGTCCCGCATGGAACACATACCCTCTTCCACGCGCCATCGTCCAAGCACTCTCAAGCCCCTTCGGAAGAACGTACATCGTCAGTTCACCTCGCCTCCTCTTCGCCTCAACAAATAACGACAATCCCGAAAGCATCCCACCAAGCCAGAAGGAAGGCTTTGAAATCAGAATGTCTATCCATTCCTTTCGGAGTTTCAGTGGTGAACGTGGGGAAGAAAGGATTCGGTGGAGGTTATGTTTAAGGCAGAAGTAGGCTGCGAAAAAAAATTTAGTCAAGGTTCATCGAGACAAGTTGCGAAGAATATCATACTTTGGTAGATAACAACAAAAACACCAAGGAACGCAGAGCTCCGCGCAGTCCCTAGACCCGCTCTCAGAAACACCTCTCCCGGGTTTTCTAGGAAGTGCCTCCATTTGAATAATACGGGTGGCACCAAATGCAACGCGCCGTAAATCGGGAACATCCACTTCGCAACGCTGAGGAATCTATCAAGTGGTACTTCCATACACGAATCGAGCCATGGATGCACCACCTCGCAAGGTGCATATCGTGGACCAAAGTCCGAAAATTCTTCTGCACTAAGCACTCGAGAAGCTATTCGAGCACGGTTTAATGGTGTCGTGACAGGATCAGAGAGTAACAAGAGGAAATCATCTGGTTCGAAATAACCGTCGCGGATCAGCGTGCGATTTGCTTTGACAGCCTGCGGTGGGACTTTGGAGGCGTTCTGAATCCTATATGCAGATTAATCCGGATTAGGGTAAGGTGTATGTAGAATCTTGCTTACCAAGTACTATAAGATGGAGGAATAGTGTCTGGTCTCAGCAAGAAACCATACATAATTTGACCACAGCATAACGCGAAGACGAGTACATCTCCATGTGGGATCTTGATATTATGTCGCGTACTCAACGCATTATACGACCCTTGCAGACCACGCACGAAAAGCTGCTGCGCAATCGTTACTCGTCTGCTTTTCTTTTCAAATAGAACTGCCAGGCCTGATAGTGCACCAGCGACTACAGCGTGCCATCGTCGGGTACGTTTTCGAATCCATACTTCGTGAGCTTGAGCACGGAAAGACAAACGACCACGTCGTCGCTCGGACCGTGTTGGTGCCATCGTCATAGGAAGCTCGTCAAACGGAGTCGTAGGAGACTCAGATGGGGAGAAAGCATTGTTGACTCGAGGCGGAGGAAAGAGGATAGGTAAAGCATTGAGTAGGAATTTATATACCGCGACGAAACTACCTGTAGAGGAAGTTAGATATTGAAACATACCTTAATATACGGCTTACCGAGCATTGCAGCAAATCTAAAGGAGTCTAGCCCAAGTATAGCATGGCGTATAAGTGAGAATCGAAAATGTCTGCTGTATATTAGGATGTATTGCACCAAAATTATATGTGATGAAATACTCACCGAGGCATTTTCCTGATACGAAATAACAGCACGAACATATTGAAGCCAGACCTCAGGGTAAACCCGAACGTCCCGGCACCTTCACATTGTGTAATGAAAAAGTCAAAATGACAGATAAAACTAACTCACGCAGGCCGCCACGACCAGCATGTTCAAGGCACTCCCACAGAGTATACAACTCCACAGCAGGCTCACCCCTATCCCGCCAAACCATTTTCCGAGCGTCGCGTAAAGCTTCTTGGTAGTTCGCGAGTACGACCAAGTTCTAAGCAAGGTAAGATATGGCAACGGTATTAGTCCATTAAGCTAATACGAATGCGGACGGCTAAACGGGGCGTACTTCGAAGGACGTCATGACTTTACTCCTTGACGGAAGACGGGAAAGCCCTCTCGAGCTTTCCTCCGCCGCAGACATCTTGCGCGTATGAAAGGCTCTGATTTGACCTTTTTCAAAGGCCTCAAGGAGGCACGATGGCAGAGCACTATGAGTTTGCGGAGATACGCGCTTTGAATCGCAGCAGAACACGCAATTTCGGGAAAACACGTGCCACAAGACAACGGGAGAAAAAACACGTGGAAATTTAGACTTCTATCAGCATCAGTATCAACTAAATAACGCTCACCCTCTCATTGGCCATTGCTATAAGGACCTTCATTGAGAGGAAAGACACTCTGCCAAGCGACCATCCTCACTGAGAGATTGGTCAACTAGGTGTACACAGGGACTTACAGTTCTTCCTTGAATTGTGTAAATCTGAGTTAGTTATGACAGTACTGTAAATATGTTATAAAGCATAATATTTTTAATGTATATTTTGCATATTGCATGAGGCATTCTTATAGCAAATGAGACAAATGCTAAAGTCATATGAGGTGATGTATAAAGCTTGTTATATGCTAGGATAGTGGTTTCTTCAACAATATACGCCATGACATATTTAACTGTACATAAATAACAAAATTCGCATCTTTACAACGGCATGACATGTACTCTTTCAGCAAGACAACGCAACGAAGTTGAACGAACAAATAATATGTTGAGACATTCTGTGATTGAATACAAGTACTTTCATCTTCAGCTTGAGGGGTCAAGGCACCCGGCATCTTAGGGAGCACACTGAGATGTTCCATCTCAATGAAAAGAGAAATAAAATATGACAAAGGACATACAGACACATAACCAGCCGTATAATATCGCAACGAACAAAAAGGAAGGGTATCGGAATCACCACTAAGAGGCACGCATTTTTGCAAAGAAAGAAAGAGGAAAGCGAAAACAACAAATGCTCAAACAAAACGTAACTAGTTACCCTCTCAAAGGATAACACTAATTAAGCGAAATCTCTTCCGTTGCACCAATATCATCATCCGCCTCCCCAAGGTCAACGCGCTCTTTCTCCTTTTCTACGGGGTCAGGAGGAGGCACCTCCATAGGTGCAGCTGACACCGGCGAAAACTGTGCAGTCTCCTTCCCATGTTCTCCACGTTCGCCTTCTTCCCCTTCTCCATACCCACTATCTGAAGACGACTTTGACACGGCACTTGGCAAAGGTGGGACAGGTGGTACAGCCTCAGCCTGGGATGTCGGGGAGGGAGGCGGGAACTTAAAGTTACGGTCCATAGTACCGTTACGTGCGTGTCGTTCCGCTGCTGATGTTGGTGATCGTTGAGATTTTCGACCTGATGAGTCTTCGTCTTCATCTTCCTCGCCTGGTTTATGGCTACTACCCGCCGCGCCGCTTTCGTCCGTCTCAATTACAGGTGGTACACCATTCTGTTTCGAGTTTGTAGGTGACTGGTTTACGAAGGATGAAGCAGATACTTCAGCCTGTGTTGTCGGGCGTCGCGGAGGAGGCATCGATGCACGGTTCCCTGGACCAGTGCCACCACCTGCAGGCGGACTAGTCGTGTCCCGGTTCGGTGAACGCTGTAATGAAACTTGAGACATTGACTGAGGTCGCGTGAACGGTGCAGATGATAATGGCGAGCTCGGCGTAGTTCCCAGATAAAATTGGGAAATTGGAACCATCCTATAAAAAGCAAACAACTCATCGTTAGGGAGGAGTTAAATCATTGATAGAATCAAAATACACCGACTTTCGTTCTGCGTGGCATGCAAGGATCCATTGAGGTTGTACAACAGGTATACTAACTTGTAAAGCACGTTGATACTCGACACTAGGCCCGCTGTTTGCTGCAGATCCTTCACCCGCAGGAGTCGTGCACACAAAGTGCGTGGTGTCAATTTGGATCTTATCGCTCCATCGTGCACGCATCTCACGCAAGGCCTGCTTCGCGTTTTCTAACTGTACCTTGTCTTGTACTGTACCGAAGCAAACACTGATTCCCGATGTGTCTGTCATAGTATGGGTACGGACTCGGACGACGTTGCTGGGATAGGTTCCGGCTGTCGTCCGTAGGATGAGCTGGAAGGTGTAATCTGTGTTGAGCTCCAGGCCAGTGAGTTTTGTCGATGTATTATGGCGTGGTTGCGGAATTGCAGCGAGACGTTGCCCATTACGATATATGTCAAGTGAACGTAACGATGCGGTGGCCAGTTCAAGGGCGGGCCATTCAAGTGTTACGGATGTTTGTGTGATATTGCGGACCTGCAGATGTACAACATATCAGCATTCCGAATCTCTCGTATACCGATAAGGAACGCGACGTCATGCCGACACACCTCTAATTTGGGAGGCTTGGGTGTTTCAACACCAAACCTCTCATAGATCTGTTTCTGTAATTCCCAGAATTCTTGATCTCTCCGCTTCTCTTCCGCGACATTTCTATGCACCGCAATATTGACTATCGATCCAGCAGTTGCACCTGGAGGTAGCAGTATCGAAGGGAACTCGATAAGGTGTGCGCGTTCGCCGAGCAGGATCTGGAATTTACAGCAGTTTAACGTCTAATCGCTGTAATCTTTGTTTGACTGTATCCTTACCGCCATCCCGGCGTCTGTAATCTGCATTAGAATATAGCTATCGACTTAATATTTGATTTCTTACCAAGCTTTCCGACGGTGAACGTGAAGCTTTCTGGAGATTTTGCCATGTTGCTGGTGTCGTGGAAGCAGTAGCTCAAGAGAAGCGTGACGCGAACGACGCGCTCCCAAAGGAAACGCCGATCTCCGTTTACGGACAAACTCTCGTGACTGTGAGAGAATTACTACGCACGGACCATCGACAGATTTAATCCCCACAGGCCGTGCTCTTGAGCTCTTCACATCAACGATAGCGGAAGAAGACATCGCTTTCTCTCTTTTCTTCGTTCACCCGGAAAAAGTGCGCGCTCTCTTTGAATCCGCAACTATGAGACTAGCTTTTGATGAGTGAAGTATTGTATCGACAGGATGTCTGACGCTGGAGATGAAATTCAAGTCGATGCCCCGGCCCCTGAGGTCGAGGTCAGCGAGGCCCCCAAGGGCAAACTTTCTGTTGAGGACGCGCTGCAGGTATGACTCGACCACCTGCTCTTCAAACACTCTAACTAACTCTCTGAACAACCAATCTGTAGCAAGTCCTAAAAAACGCACTAGTACACGACGGTCTCGCTCGTGGTCTCCGTGAATGTGCAAAGGCACTCGACAGGAGACAGGCCCACTTGTGTGTACTGGTCGAGTCATGTACGGAGGCGGAGTACCTTAAGCTCATCGAGGCGCTCTGTGCCGAGCATAAGATCAACCTGATTAAAGTCGGAGACGCGAAGGTGCTCGGTACATGGGCAGGTCTTTGCAAAATCGACCGCGAGGGCAACCCGCGCAAGGTCGTTGGCTGCTCGTGCGTCGTTGTGAAAGATTACGGTGTTGAGAGCGAGGGCTTGAACGTCCTGCTTGACTATTTCAAGAACCGTTAGGTAAGCATACTCATTTATAAAAACAATTTTAATTCGTCTTTTCGTCCTTCACCCTACTTTTCGTGAGATGACAAACAGACTCCCTCAACGGAGAGGAATTTATTTTTCGTTGACGATAAAAGTCTATCCGGAATCATTATATACTTTCTGACATCTTGCATTCCCCTTGTCCCTTTCAATTTACTTCCGTCCCTTAACTAAACCTTTTTATTTTATTTCTTTTAGATCCGTGTATCTTGTAGTCACACGCTCCTTATACTAAAATGTACACAGCATTGTATGCCTTGCATCATATTTCAAATACAACTCAGCATAAACTACCACGAAAATCGACAGCCGCCAAAGGCATTGAGATAAGCACGGTAAATAGGCACCGAGATGGTTATCCCCGAAAACTTTCCTTACATGTGCAGTCGGTGCAAGTCTGACGCCGTCGAAGACGCGTGCAATTCTAAGTTCCAAAGAGAGAAAGGGATGCTCAGATGCCCAGTTGAATTTATCTGTATAGATATATAAATGAGATGGGCGCTTCCTTGATGATGTTCGCACTCCAGATCCGAGACGGCCCTTTGAGTTTGACGTCGCCTCGCGAACTGGAGCTCGGACTGGAGCTGCCTAGCGACGCTCTCGACCATCCTCTTGTTCCTCGCTTTGCATTTTACCACCACCATTGGTAGCGTATATAGACTCAACAGCCTCAGCAAGTGGCAGTGACCTGCCTGAGCTGCTCAAGCTGGCCCAACGCAGACACAAGCGCATCTGGAGCGCAACCCACCGGTCCCGACAGTCCGGCTATTATTAATGTCGTCTGTAATTAGCTCAGGAATGTCCGTGGTGGTTGCGGAGCAAGGCTTGTGGTATGGGAGGCTCTGTACAAGTGCGTACACCGTTTCTCGTGAACTGTAGTATTCTGGAGTTCAAACTATTCTTGTATCTAGCTTCTTCATCAACTATCATACTGTATGATCATCGTGAGTTATACTGCTTCTAGTCCGGCCTGTGGAGCACTCATGATAGGCTTTCCTTCTACTGTCAAACGTAGTGATAACCTTTGGGGACGAAGTTCGTTTAATCTGGGTACGTCTCCCCACTCTACTATCCCTTTCCCCACTTCTCGGCATTAACCTTGGCATCACTCGACTTCTAAATTAGAGATCGCGATGGTCCGCAGGGAAAGCCTTGTTCCTCATAGTCCGTCCTAGCACCCTCCGCTCTTCCCGAACGTTTTGCTAATCTACATGTTTAGAGCCGATATTATAATATATTTACCGTTATGTGAGTATAAATTTTCTCCGAGGCTACGAACGTAAATGTACTGAGAGTTACTAGATTCAACTCATGCAGTATGTCTTCATGCTTTACGTCGTATCCTTCCGGGCCGCTCATAGTACACATTCAGTCTTATACTCCCCGTCTCTTACCGCTCGTCTGTGCGTAGTTCCCCGCATGTTTCAGATTTTATTTTAACTGACCACTATGTCAACTATAAATAGTTGTGAGTATTGTCTATGGTAATCGTAGATTACCTTTAACCTCCCCGCTTCTTCCGCAGGTTTCGCCTGGCTCCGATGGCAGGCTGTTTCCGGAATTTTTGTGTATGGCTTGACGGAAAGTAAGCAGGTCAACTTCCTATTTCAACCTTCATCTCGTTTTTTTTAAATACATAATATTTTTGACTATTGCTGTGCTAATTTTCTTGTTCTAGTTATATTAATGTTACGATTATATGCAATGTATAGTTCAAGCAAACGAATATCGGCTGTGCTAGTTTCAGGCTTCTCGGCAGTTCTTCTTGCGGAGATAGTTGTCTTGGTGTTATCGACGAAAGCCCAGATCGGTACGTCCTTGACCTTCAGACTTGAATTACATACTCATATACTACTTGCTCGTATATTCACATTCTTATTGCCTACTAACAGGACCAGTAAATGCCGACCCTTCTCGCATACTAGACATGTCAACATGTATCCTCACTAACACCTGGCGATTTTCATACCTCTATTGGATCCCTTTCCTCGTCTTCGAATTCCTGCTCTTCGTCTTGGCTCTTGCGAAAGGAATACAATCTATACGCGATCATGAACTCGAACTCGGTGCATCTGGTTTTGGACTGGGACTCTGCTGCAAATCTAAAGGACCCGGACGTGCAGCGAAAGCGCTGGAGATATTGATTAGGGACTCGATATTGTATTTTGTTGTGTGCGTAACTGTTCTTCTACTTTCCATATTGTTGGTTTAGCCTATCAAGTTTCCTCGAAAAGTTGATGATACTGACGAGATTGCCGACTTCTTAGGATCTTTGCGATATATCTAGCTAACGCGCTCTCATGGATAATCGAAAATGTAAGTTCAATTTCCATATATAATTCCCTGTACTGACCGCGCCAACCTCCCTGACTAACTAATAACGACAAACGCAGGGCCGAATCGGCGAGATTCCCGTCGCCCTCGCAGTCGCCCTCTCAACTGTCATGGCCCAGCGTCTCCTCCTCAACATTCGCGAAAACTTCGAGCGAAGACAAGCAGGTATAGACGCCGACGCGTCCACTGCGGCCGCATCCGATACGTTTGCATTAAGTACTATGGCGTTTGACGGGTTATGTGTCGTCTCGGACTCGGGTGCCGGTGCTATTAACGGTAACGCACAACTTGAACACAATGCGCATAGTGGAAGGGTTGGCCAGATCACGTCAGCGGGGAGTACGTTCAGTGGGTCGACTATTGTTGCGCCTTCGTCCCCGTTAGAAAAAAGAAATTTTCAAGAGCACACAAATGCTGCGCATTCTGGTAATGTGGATCCAGGACCTTCCAAAAGCTGCTCTTGCACAAAGGATGACCCGGAGCAATAAGTAAACATCATCTTTGAATTCAACTTTCGTGATGGATTTTCGGATTTTATTAGATGTAGATATGTACTTTAAACCAGGACGTTGTCCCTCATGCTATGAGAAAAAAACACTTGTAAAAAAGAAAAAAGAATTCTGAAATCCTGCGCAACTGTGTGTGGAGGGAAAGGAAATGGCTGTAGGCTTAAGAATCATTATTGAATTCCTCGTGTTTCCTCAGTCCATCAATGTGTGATGAAAATAACGGAAGACCTGAAATGACTTAACACCCATGCTGTTTCATTTTATACAGAAGTGAGACTCAGAGCATGTGTCTCTTTTGTGAATAAAGTCCAGTCTAAGATATTATTCAGTAGAAACCAAGCATATTTACAAAAATTTGCTATTACGATTCACTAAAGCATAAAAGTCACAAATCTTAACAGAACTTATTGTCAGAAACTACAATGCTGAATGTTCTAACAATATGCTTTAAACTTTCATAGCGTATTGCACTGATGAATGTACATAACAAAAAATCTGACAAAGCCAATCTTAATACAGATTCTTCCATTATTCCATCTAACAACGTACCCATGAGCTAATTCGCTAGAATTGAGATTCCTGCCTACAGGAAGTAAACTCAACCTAATATGAATGATGTTGACGTACTCTGGCTTTCGGACGGCATGAGGTCATTTCCACGACCTCGGAGTACTGTAGGTTCGGTCTATCCCAGCCTTGCCTTCTTCCGCGTGTTTCCCGCAACAGTGTCACTTCCTGCGTTTCCCGAGCTAACACCTATCGGCAGGCGAGCCATATTTACACCACCGTATCCTGTTCCCGTGGCGTACGAGCCCGAACCAGCTGCCGCAGGGGCACCAGGACCAAAACCACTCGTGAAGCTTGGCACCCCACTAGGAGGACGAGCAGAACTCGCCGGAGCAGGTGGAGGTGCGCGTGCAGCAGCAGCAGCAGCGTTCGTAGGTAGCATGGCTGCAGATGCTTCGTCATGAGTGATTCGACGCTGTGGAGGCAACTGCGCCCCGCTTAACGTGAGAAATGCACTGATAAGGAACAATCAGACAAAGAAAGGGTTGAGTGTAATGAAAGCGGCCCTACTTTCGTGTAGGTATCGGCTCTTCCTGGAACCATTTATGTTCCATTGCTTCGCGTGCAGCTAACCGTTTGTCTGGATCATATGCGAACAGACGACGCAGCAGGTCGTACCCATCCTTCGAACGGATGCGTGTTTGACACCACTCATATAGCCTGTCCTTAAATCTAGGGCCATCACTTTCAGTAAGAATTTACAGTTGAATTGTCACATCTACTCACTTGTCAAGTCGCTTCATGTTTTGAAATTCCGGCATGTATTTCAGTGCAGGCCATTCTGTCACTAAAGAAAGATAAGCAGAAGCAACGAGGCAAACGAGCAGAACCAACCATCAGGGGTGCCCCGAACTTCGAAAATTCTGAGTAACTGGTCCCGTTGGAACGGAACATTCTTTTTAGAGTCCATCTTCGCCTCTTCACCCTTAAAAATAGGCCTCAGGCTCGCTAATTCCGCCAGAACACACCCAACGGCCCAAATGTCTATTGCCTTCGTGTAATGTTTTGCCCCGAGGAGAAGCTCGGGTGCGCGGTACCAAATGGTCACGACGACTTTATCGCCCGAAATCAACGGCTGAAGTGGTTCGTGGACTAACCTCGCCAGGCCGAGGTCGCCAATCTTTACAACACCGTTGGATGTAATGAGAATGTTTGCAGGCTTTAAGTCCCGATGCAGAATATGAGACGAGTGGAGATAGAGAACACCGTTGAGAAGTTGATAAATTAATGACTTGAGTACCGGTTCTGATATCTGCGTGCGAAGGTTTTGTGAATGGTGGTGAATAACTTGCTGCGGAGCGCTATGTGTTAAAAAAAGATATTCCTTCGGGTAGTCACAATCACTTACAAGGAAATCGTGTTCAGCATATTCGAAAATCATATAGATGGATTTGTCCTCTAGAATGACCTCTTTGAGCGCAGTAATGTTCTCGTGATCGATCTCACGATTTAGCTATAGAGTTCCGAGATGAAAAATAATGTACGTTGACTATGTATGTGTGCATGACAAGCTGAACACAGACCGCTATCTCTCGTATAGCACTTTGGCTTATACCAGTATATGTGACTGCTTCGCCTTCCTTGTCAGGTTTGAATTTCTTGGCAGCATAGACACGATTTGCATCTTCGCCATCCTTTGCCTGTACCTTGTATACACGACCGTATGTACCAGAAGATATAAAGCCTAAGAAAGTGTATTTCGACTGTACAGACTTTCGTGAGCTGTCCCGCTTTGCACGATACGCTCGCATCGGGTCATTCTGTAAGGTGTTTGGCCAGTCTTCCATTATCGCAATGGTAGCTGAGACGAGGTCACAGAAATCGTTACACAGAAGGAATTCATAATACGTGAACGTGAGAAGAAAGGGGATTGTACTGAAGTGTGACTTCACGGAATGTGACTGTTACTGTGACTATTATCATTTACACGTGACCAATTTGTCTGCTTTTCCAGCGCAGACAATTCCTTCGGACCTCGACAGCGACCGCGAGCGTTGAGGACGACGTCAGCGAACATTGCTCAGTATGTCGCAGGCCATAGGGAATGTGTGTCATTTGTTCTCTCAAGTTTACCTATTCTAACGTCTCTATGACTCCATAGACTGCACTAGCATATGCCAAAGTCTGGCACCATGTCGATGCTTCTGGACGTACCCTGGGCAAACTCGCTGATCGGATAGCGATTGTGCTCATGGGCAAACACAAACCTATGTACGACCCAGGAGGCGAGTCTTTTTTTTTGCACTCTGCACCAAATGTCAGTGGTTGTTGACGATATTTGTGCGCTTCGTGTTTCTTACAGTGGATTGTGGTGATTATGTTGTGGTAACAAACGCAAGAAATATCCGCGTATCAGGAAACAAGGCCCAGCAAAAAGTCTATTATAGTCATACGATGTATCCCGGCGGCTTGAAAGAACGGAAGTTTAAGGACCTTATTGTTCGCAAACCCGAGGATGTGAGTATCCGCTACTTCGTTTCTTGGCGTCACGTCTATGAACTCACCACACCCACATGGTCGCGAAACACTTCGAAAGATTATCCGCGAAGCCGTTTCTGGCATGCTCCCTAAAAACAAGCTACGAGACCGCCGGCTCGAGCGTCTGAGAATATTCGCAGATGAAGACATGGGAGCGTTCAAGAACAACATCTTGAAACGATGGGAGGATGGGACGCTTCCAAGTGAGACTATTACGAAAACATCATAGCCGTGTTTGGATGGTCATTCTGTCACCATACTCTCCAGTCTCATCAATCTTCTTTCATGTACCATTAATTTACAATCTTCCGGGTAATGGATCTCATTATTTGCGGACGGTCCTTGTGCTCCATAAAATTTCAGTCCTTGCTCGAGCTACTTTCTGAGAGGCTATTGTCCGATCGGTTGTGATCATTACCATCAGCGGCGTTCATTTCACCAGCTTCTTCAGCTAGCTGAGAGCCGTTCAGTGTCCCTCGCGCTTCACTTCCCGCACGCTCATGTGTTCCGTCTTCCTCAACTTTCAGTTTCTTCCGAGTTCTCTTTCCTCCTCGGATTTCATTCACCCCGAGCGCCTTCAGGGATTCCCTGTGCTGCACCCAGTCCTCTGGAGGTTCCGCGTTCGTCAACCCAGCAACGTGTTCTTGCAATAACATGCCTGAAAATCCTATGAGTATTAGTAAATTTCCGAGGACGTGCGAGAGGCTCCTTTACCTATAGCCATTAACGCCGATCCGTCGAAGGCCTTATACATGTCTCGTCGTGGGATTTCCTTCAATTTCTGCCGCTTTCCCTTTTTCAAACCGACGGGTTGGCGTCTCGACGCTTTCCCGTCACCGTCCTTCTCCGATCTTTTGTCAGCGTCGTCGTCGCTGCCATCGCTCGGATGACCGCTGCCATCAGAATCGAGTCGTGAAATATTTTCTCCGAGGACGACTTGTCCGCTATCCTCTGCTACGGCATTTCTAAGTTTCTCATGTTTGCGTGCTTTTGTTGCTCTCCGTGACTCTGCTGGTGCATCGAACAAGCAGCCACGTGCAGTATAGTACTCGCTTGCATAGTAGTGAATGCATTTGAGCAAATCCTATATTCGGAAAAATAAGGAACTACAGTTTTTCAATTAAGCATAGGTCTCTCACAGATGAAGGGGCGGGGAGCTTTAACCGGGTTAATGGCTGGTCGCCTTCAATGACGTTTTGAGACGGAGAAGTGGCACGCGAACTTGACGCTCTTACGGAACTGAGAAATTCAGGAGAGCTCGTGCGCAGTGGATCGAGAAAAGAGAAGTCATGATAAAACTTCCTCCTCTTCTTAGTCCTGCTATCTTTCACGGGTTCCACGCCGTCGATTGCGCCAGTATCCTCTTCGAGAAATGGGGCTCGCCGATTTAGCTGCCGTCCTGCGGAGTTCTCCACGGATCTCACATGGACCTCCGCATCATCCGCCTTATCTTCAACTAGACCTTCCGCATTTTCCTCCGCCCGTTTCTCCCTGGGTAAGGTGGCGCATCGACGCTGTTTAATTGAGGCCGTACCGCCGGCATCAAGTGCGATCCAGTTTTCTTGTCTATCACGAGTCGTCTGTCGAGTCCGACGAGTTGTACGTGCCTTGATGTTTGATTCAGAAGAAATATCGTTCTGTCTATGTTTAGAAGAGCCTGAATGGGCTTGTACTCGAGACCCATCTGGATGCAATCTTAAGCTTGCTAAGTCATGGATAGTGCTGTAGCGGCGAAAACTCATAATGAGGTGAGAACAGCCTGTTCGTGGTGTTATATGAAAGATGAGATTGAGTAACATTCCATTTATTTCAAGCGTCGATCGTGATACAATAATATTGTATTATGTAATGTTCAAATACAGTGAAACCTGTCATTAAGCATGACCCACTGTGGACAGGTGAGGCCATGCTTAATAAGAGGTTATGCTTGTTGACAGTAGCTTAAGTAAAGTAATAAAATTTCCTTATTTGTAGTACATAACTCAATAATACATTGTCTACTTAAAAAACAACCAAATATCAGTCTGTTCAAGAGAACTATTTATTTTCTTGCATAGGTTTCTTGTAAGCTTTGGAAAAAGTGCTCTAGCCTCAGTAAACTTGGCACCAATCTCACTCTGAAAGAGCACATTGAGCTTTGAAAGCAATTGGACAGCCTCTGCATAGCTTTTGATGCTTCAACTTTGGTGCTTTGCTATGGGCAGGATCCTTTGGTAGAGATGCATCATTGACTGTACTCGTTTGTGGATGAATACCAGTGGAAGTATGGATATCTGGAAGCAGAGCTGAGAGATTGACAGGGGAAGCTTCTCTAGAATAAGTGAAAACAATTTCACTAGCATCCTTGAGTGTTCCATCTGGGTTCTGTACACATCCAAGCTCCTCAGACATGATGAACAATAAGTTTTAATAGTGGTTTTCATTACATTATGCATTTATTTTACAAAATGGAGGTGGCCTGTACAAAAAGTGGCTCTCTCCGGGTCATGATCTGCACTGTCACATGACCCAAAATTTCCTTTAATTAAGCATATTCTCAATCTCACACCTTAATGCTTACTGCTGCTTGCATAATTCCTTAGAACGGTAAGATCACGTGATTTTTCATCACAAAGTTGAAAAACACAAAGAAAATACAATATCTCACTCAATCCTTAACATAAATGTGTACTATTAGTACCTAAATTCATACTTTTAAAATCCCCTTCAGATAGATACTTTATTAATCAAATTTGAGTAAGAATTGACTAAGATAT